AACAACAACAACAACAACAACAACAACAACAACAACAACAACAACAACAACAACAACAACAACAACAACAACAACAACAACAACAACAACAACAACAACAACAACAACAACAACAACAACAACAACAACAACAACAACAACAACAACAACAACAACAACAACAACAACAACAACAACAACAACAACAACAACAACAACAACAACAACAACAACAACAACAACAACAACAACAACAACAACAACAACAACAACAACAACAACAACAACAACAACAACAACAACAACAACAACAACAACAACAACAACAACAACAACAACAACAACAACAACAACAACAACAACAACAACAACAACAACAACAACAACAACAACAACAACAACAACAACAACAACAACAACAACAACAACAACAACAACAACAACAACAACAACAACAACAACAACAACAACAACAACAACAACAACAACAACAACAACAACAACAACAACAACAACAACAACAACAACAACAACAACAACAACAACAACAACAACAACAACAACAACAACAACAACAACAACAACAACAACAACAACAACAACAACAACAACAACAACAACAACAACAACAACAACAACAACAACAACAACAACAACAACAACAACAACAACAACAACAACAACAACAACAACAACAACAACAACAACAACAACAACAACAACAACAACAACAACAACAACAACAACAACAACAACAACAACAACAACAACAACAACAACAACAACAACAACAACAACAACAACAACAACAACAACAACAACAACAACAACAACAACAACAACAACAACAACAACAACAACAACAACAACAACAACAACAACAACAACAACAACAACAACAACAACAACAACAACAACAGCAGCAACAGCAACAACAACAACAACAACAACAACAACAACAACAACAACAACAGCAACAGCCTCCTGCCATCCGGGGCCTCCACTACGGTAGTGCATGTACAATCATTGAATCACACACAACAGAGGCGAAAGGCTGTGTTAGCTGTAACTTAAAAACGCATCGGAGCGATCATCAGACAGCAGCATTCACTATCGAATTCTCTAGGAGCAGGCCTAGATATTTGATGCTAGTGTGGAAGTTAGTGCATATGTGCGAAGTGAAGACGTGGCATTGGTACAGTGGTATTGAGTTGTTTTGTGAGAGTTAACGGATATACATGGACATGTAGGTGAGAATAGAGGCGATAACAGGGCAGTGTTACCGAGTCATCAAAGGCGATAGCGACAGTAGCGCAAGACCACAGCAGGAGTGAAGAGGGAGAGAGAAAAAGCACCATGGCGCCAAACCTGGTGAAGGTTGCGCCATGTTGAAAAACAACTCATGTAACTGATGGCGAGAATCTGGACAGGTAATACTTAACTTACGGTCTTGTTCTCGTGTCTGCATTTCGACACCAACTCCGACCCTTTGTTGATGTAGACCGTTTTGTCTGCTTCCAGTATCTCCAGTTTCTCAGCCAGGCATAGGGGACACCGCTTGGTCGCGTTCGAGTAGGCCTGGGCCTTGGTGACGACGGCCCATTTGACAGAGTGCGGAGTGTTCTTCCGCTGGAGCTTCCATATGCACTTGGACAGCTCCGTACTTTTTTCCATCCTCTCATGCCTCGTCGTGCTCATGTGATTGTTGTATCTCTGTTTAAAGGGTGGTTCCGTTAGGCCGAGGTACTCGTGCCGCTGGTCTCTTCCGGTGTGCTGGACTGTTGCCTTGTACACGATGCATCGTACTTGGCAGTCGCCGTCCATTGGGCAGATGCTTTTGTCTCGGCAGTTGCATCATTTGTCGGGGACGTTCTTGTCCTGTGTTTGTCTCTTCCTTTGAACATGGTTGTTGTGGGATTTGACTATTGCGGACATATTCGGCATACATGTACATGAATAGCTAACTTTGACGGTGTTGCGGTTAAAATATCTGACGCAATCGGCAGCCGTGAGGGAAGTGTGTGTCGAGGAGTCGGAGGAATTTGTGTGTGATGTCTGTGGCCACGTTCTTACTAAAGGGTGAGTTGTACCAAGTGACGTTGCGCCGCCTATTTTTCTTTCTTCGTCCTGTCCCCTCCTTCCTCTCTTCCATGTACTCGACTCGTTCCACGTATCCACTCTCTCTGAGGGCATCGTTGTACGCTGGTGCCGATTCCTCAAATATGTGTCGGTCATTTGATATGTCTGTTAGTCGTCTGCTGATCGTCTTTGGCAATTGTTGGATGATGGCCGGTGGGTGATTGGAAAGTTGGTGGACATAAACGGGCTTGTTGTTCGGCTTCCGGTATGGTTGGTATTTCCTTGTTGACAAATCCAGTGTCACATCCAGGAAATCTACCGTCTTCATGCCAGCGCTGATGGTCAGTTTCAAACCGAGATTCGTGAACATCTGGCATAATTATGGTTTTTCTGGCGCGTTCTGCAGTACTGCCCGTCGCATCTCTGATCACCGCTAGTCCATCATCGCGGTACAGTCCGATGTCCGCGCTGTCGAACTCCTCCGATAGCTTTGACAGGGAATATGTGCCGACCAGTTCGCAGTCTGCACCGTCGAAGCAGCCCATGGTCACGTCGAAAAGTCCTCTTCCGTCTTTCTTCATCCACTCCCGATCACCGTTGAAAAGCAGGGACTTCCGCGAGTGCATGACGATTTCTCTATCCTGCTGCGTAATGTCCGTGTACTGTGTGGCGAAAGTGAGCGCTTGTCCGAGTAGGTCGTCGGATATACATTGTACATGTAGATGGGTGAAATTCTGCAATATCAAATATCAAATATCAAATATCAAATATCAAATATCAAAACAGATGAACGAGCATGTGGATTTGTTTTCCAATCTTCGGAACCACTCGATCACTGTTGTTGTGTTTTTCCACGAATTGATGTTGAGTTCTGATCGTACTGTCTGGACAATTCTCTCCATGATGCTTTTACTGACTCGGCCAATGTCGCTTTTTGCAGGGTTGATCAGCCGGCATAGTGTTACCGAGTCATCAAAGGCGATTATTATTTTATTATTATTATTCCACAATCACGATGATATAGTGCCAATAAGCATGTGATGCGGGCGATTTTAACCAGCCATGGTGGGGACAACTGAGAAAAAGAAGGAGAAGAAAAAGAGAAAACAAAACAAAACAAAAGGAGTACTATAGGAACCTGGAGAGAGCAGTATGAAGATTAGGCTAGCAATGGAAAACAACGAATTCAATTCAATTCAACTTAGGCGTGGGCAGAATGGAACAAAATGCAGCGAAGGTATCACGAGACTTTACCTCCTGCGGAAGCCGAGACCAATGAGAATAGGACTTGAACAGAGGGGATTTTAAAAGGATCGATGATCTGGCAAGTGGGAAATGGAGAGAACATCTAGTACGCGAGCTATTATTGAACCAGCTTAAATGCGCAAGTGCATGAGGAGGAGCAAGTTGAAGCTTAATACGGTGAATGAATTTGCATGCCGAGTGGGGAAAGCGTTCTGAGAGAGGGGAAGAGGAAGCCAAAATGTATAGCGTCTGAGAGGAGGTCAGAGGGGGCATGCGAAATATTAATCGAAGTAATTTGCGGTGGGTGACTTCTAACCGATGCATAAGAGCGGAGGATAGACCGGAGGACCAAACGAGAGACCAGTAATCAAACAAAGGAAGAACATAAGAGTGATAAATTTGTATTCGACAACCATGGTGTAGATGGGAGATGTGAGGAGAAATGCAGCCTATCGCGGAGCAAACTCGCTTTTCAATATAGGTTACGTGCGAATCCCACGACAAGTGTTCATCAAGAAATATACCAAGGTGTTTGTGATTTTTAACAATGTTGATAGCAATGGGATCATCAGGGAAAGTAAAAAGCCGAGTCGTAAAGAGGGTGAGGTCACTGGAGGGTCGTGGGGGGATACAAAGGATTGCCGTTTTCGACCCATTGGGGCGGAGTTTCCACTTCGACATCCAGCGCACAACTTGATTAATGTGATACTGTAGCGAGTCGCAGGCTTGTAATAAGCCTGGCTCGGTTATATGGAGCGTTGTATCGTCCGCGTAGAGTGAGGTATGAACAATAGAGGCCCCAAGATAGAGCCCTGGGGCACTCCGGAGTGGACTGTTAGAGGGGCGGACAGGGCATGTCCAATTCGGACACTCTGTCGACGTTCAGTGAGATAGCTGGTGAGCCACTGCAGACACGTCCCGGCTACGCCAAACGCTGCTAACTTATGGAGGAGACCCCTTGTCCAGACAGTGTCAAATACTTTGCTCAGGTCGAAAAAACATAGGAGGCTATTCTGATCCTTGTATTCATAACTTCTGCACAAGCCTCAGCAACTGCCAGGCGGAGCGATAGTAGCGCAAGACCACAGCAGGAGTGAAGAGGGAGAGAGAAAACGCACCATGGCGCCAAACCTGGTGAAGGTTGCGCCATGTTGAAAAACAACTCATGTAACTGACATGATGGCGAGAATCTGGGCAGGTAATACTTTTTAAGTCTTGTTCTCGTGTCTGCATTTCGACACCAACGATGCCTGGTGAGAATCTGGACAGGTGATAATCAATGAATCATGACTGCACTACCGGTATACTAGTCCGGCACATGTGCTCACCACCTACCTCACAACATCGCCATATAACAGTACAGTAGAGTTACATGTACATGACTGATTGTAAAAAGATAATAATAATTATTACTACATGTACATGTAACGTGGATCGTTACCTGCTTTTGCAAATCTTGTAGACGAGCCCAGCCAACTGCTTGGTGGGCAGGTTTGCACTCAGCGCTTGTTAGTACTACTAGTACTAGTACATACTGTCAGTACTCGGCGGCTGCGTTCCAGGCACCCGTCGAACGATCACCAAGATCAAAGAAGCAAAGAATGTCATTACATTGTCGAGTAATAGTCATTGCAAGAAAAAATACCATTAATTTTGTTTAGTATCAAGTCGTGCACGGGAACAGATCCCACCGGCGTGACGATGTCACCGCGGCCCGTACCTGTCACTGCATGCTACCTGTTACAGTGTAATACTAATAGTCATTAGTACTAGGTTTTTCATTTGACCCGACGAGACCACACGACGCTTGCAGATCACAGCACAGCACGAACAGTTCACCAGCCACACTCCACGAAAGCAAGTAGTAGTACTCCTGACAAGTCTTGTTTCGTTCCACAGAGATAATAGCGGGGAACTCATCAGAGGAGAAGCAGTTGTTGAATGAAGGGGTTTAGCTGAATACAGTAATGCTATTTTATAGAAAAGATATTGGCGCACTGAGGTGTAAACACTCAACTAGCTCACATGTGACATATCAACACAAAAGGAATAGTGCAGAATGGAGGTGTTCTGAACCCTACCAGACACAACCATCACAAGTGCTAAATCATTCAGAATGAGAAGGAGAGGTACACAGGAATAGGTTGCGCTAGTTTACACGTCACAAAGGGTACTGAGGTGGTGACAAAGATAGGTGAAAAGTAGACGCCTAGTGAAAGCCAACAAACCATCACGGACGTCTAACGTCACATCTGAAGATTGCTAACTGCACAAGACATTTAATACTTCACAAACCTGGATAATTGAAATTCAGCCAGCGGTATAGGTGAAAGGAAGGCTGCTGAGCGTGACATAGAACTGTGGGCTGCTGAGGCGACGTATCCATCTTGATCTTGACTGCAGGGTTGGCGTCTAACGCTAAAATCCGAGCAGCAGATCAAATCCTTCCTTTGCCAGGCTTTGGTCAATGGCAGATTTCCTGGTCCAGGAGAAGTCATAATTCTTCTATTGAAGAGGGCAACAAAGAAGTAATAGTCATTGTATGACCGTTACCATCACGGCATCTGTCCATCACATCTTTCACTTTTTCAGATCCACTGACCAGTCTGAGTCTAGATGTCTGTGCCCAACAGTTGCTGTGTCAAACTTGGCTGACTACCTACACGGGAAAGGCCTGGTTTTAAAGGGGAAGTATACCCTAAAATCAAATTTTCACCAGTTGTAGTCTTCGGGGTGCTGAGTCGAATGGTCTTGGTCCGAGGAAGCTGAGACGCTCCCTTCCTACTTGAATCCCAATCGAACTCGCGCACTTCCACCGAAACTGGGTGACTGCGCCCTACTAGATGGGGATTTGTATGCAAAATGTCACTAAAAGCGCCATTTCGTTCTTATAAAAGCACGGATGACCGCCATTGGCCCATATGTTGTAGTCTTTTGGACGCTGGGTCGACTGGTTTTGGTCCGAAAAGGCTGCGATGCAGCGTTCCTCCTTTATTCCCAATCGAACATGGTTGAACAAGCGGTCACGTGCTCCTGCGTACACCAGTCACCTGGTCACCGTGCCTGCAGGGTACAACTTACTAGCCTGTTTGACCTTTTTTGGGTGCAGTCCTGTCACTCGAGTTGAACCTTGGTGTGAAAGTTGTCGCCTGCTGGCGCGGTGACCAGGTGATTTGGGCACCCAGGAGCACGTGACCGCTTGTTCAACCATGTTCGATTGGGAATAAAGGAGGAACGCTGCATCGCAGCCTTTTCGGACCAAAACCAGTCAACTCAGCGTCCAAAAGACTACAACATATGGGCCAATGGCGGTCATCCGTGCTTTTATAAGAACGAAATGGCGCTTTTAGTGACATTTTGCATACAAATCCCCATCTAGTAGGGCGCAGTCACCCAGTTTCGGTGGAAGTGCGCGAGTTCGATTGGGATTGAAGTGGGAAGGGAGCGTCGCAGCTTCCTCGGACCAAGACCATTCGACTCAGCACCCAGAAGACTACAACTGGTGAAAATTTGATTTTAGAGTATACTTCCCCTTTAAACCCCGACAAGACGCATTATTGAGGCATCACGCCGTAGTACTCCCTGGAACTCAACGTTAACTGCAACGGGACGCCTCTCACCCAGATCACCACTGCTCGCTTTCTGGGCCTACAGATCGATTCCTGTCTTCGGTGGGACGCGCAGGTCTCCAGCATAGTACGTAAAACTTCCCAGAAGCTGACCACCCTGAGAACCATCCGCTCGTCGCTATCTGAACGCCAGTCTTTCCTCTTCTATTCTGCCCTTATACAGCTACTTCCTGACATGCTTTATGGATCAAACGCGTTCTTCTCTGCACTCACGGCTCAGCAGCGGCACCAGCTCACTGTCCTCGACAAGCGATGTGTTCGCTGCGTAGCCAATCTGCCCTTCCCGTCCCATACCACTCCTATTATACACTCGCCTTTCCCTGACCCCTGTAATTGAACGTTGTTGTTGTTGTTGTTGTTGTTGTTGTTGTTGCTGCTGCTGTCGTTGTTGTTGTTGTTGCTGTTGCTGTTGGTCATTTTGTGAGGGAGGGGTTAGGTCTAAACTAAAATAATTCGTTTGGTGAAAAAAGTTCGATATTTACGGACGGCCCCTAAGTTGATAACGGACTCAGTGAAGTCAGACCATTCTACATAACAGACTCGGTCAAGTCGACGCTGACTCGGAACACGGGCACACACCTACATGTCTGTGAACAGTCATGATGACTGCGTAGTCTGTTGTAGATCGAGTAAAAGACACTTTTATTTTACGTCTACTGTATGTTGTAAACTACTGGTAGCTAGCAGTGAGATCATCATGCTAGCGCTTCGCAGCTAGCTGCCGTCGCATGCTCAGTACAGTCAGTGTTCGTCTACCTAGCTACCGCGCCGGTAGCTACAGTACACAGACAGTGTACAATCATGTACTACGCCACGGTGCGAAGATTCGCATTTCGCTAGCACCGCCGCCCCGCCTATCCCAGGCTGCGCAAATGCGAACGACCGGACAGGTACAGTTGTCATGTACTGGTGGCAGATATTCTTGGGCCGGCTTGCGCACACGGAATAAAACAGTACACGCCCGTTGAAAACTACGTGAGTTCTTGTTGAACCAGTCGGTGCCAAGTAGTTGTTCAACAAGACCGTTGCTTGGTGTTCTCTTCCTCTAGCTGTTTACTTGTTCGTTCTGCTTTTGTTGTGTGCGAATAGTTTCCAGAAACAGTGCTCTGCTCCAAAATGTTGACTCGTTTGGCTGTGCTCTGCATTGTGGTGGCGGTTGGAGTAATTGGCGACCATCATTTGATGAAGGATGAAGCCAAGGGACTGGACAAAGCCATTGCCTTCTTCGCCATGAATGGCTTCCACGGCCCGGTGAGTTTGTATCTCAATCGAACCACGTTGCACGTGGATATGCGAAATTTGAACTACTCCTACCCCAAGCCCTTGGCCATCGATGTTCATCGCCTTTCCTTCACCGTCGGTATGTCCGGCAGTCCCTGCGAGTCTATCGGTGATCATTATAATCCTACAAATAATCCCATGCTAGCTCTGGGCGATTTGTCTGGCTCGCCCGGCGGTCGCTTACTAAACGCAACAACCAGGCGTTTTGCCATCGAGACTAACCTAACGTTCACCGGACACCACTCTATCATTGGTCGATCGGTTGCTTTTCACGAAGAAGGCAATGAAACTGCGGTCGCTTGCGCCAACATTCTGCACGCCAACATGCTTACGGACAAGCCGTCGTGCGGTTCGATGTCGACGGACAACGACCAGGACACTTTGGAAGCAGTGTTCAACGGTATGATAGCCGGTCGTATCACTTTCCGCAGTCTGAAGTCGTTCGGTATGGGCGTCAGCAAGTCCACCACCATATTATCTCGTCTTTTCTACACGAATGGAAACAACGCATCGAGAAACCATCCGTGGCATGCACATAACAACTCCGTGAGTGGCAATGGCGATTGTAAAAATCTTGGTGCCATTTCTGAGGACTTTACCAGCGGCAGCGGCGGTCATGCCTCCCATCTGCTGACGATAGGTGACGGTGATGGCGATGAGGATTCACGTGAGGTGCACAATCTTCTCCAGGCCGTGCCCTTCGGAAACCTGATCGGAAAGTCCCTGGCAATCCACAGGCCAAGTGACGGAAAGATTATTGCCTGTGCCAACATTGCCAAGGTGCATCCGCGCTCATTCGTAGCCAAGTTCTCAGACAACAGTGAGATTAGCATCAGCCAGAAGGACCGTTACAGCAGCTCCGAGGTCAACACCAACCTCAAGTCACGGGCCAGCAAAGTCAACATCAACAAGTTCAAGGCGGGTCAGGTAAGTCTCTAAGTTATTGTATCAAGGCTCTTCATGTTCGGGGTAGAGACAGATTCAGAAGAAACCTTGGAAAGATGGTTCAAATAGCTATTGAGCCACCCAACAGCTAACAACCCCCAACTGGCTAATCCTCAATCTATGGGTGGACTTTAAAAAATGAAACCTCACTTACTTATGGACTCACCGCAGTGCAATAAGTCGGTGAGGACAAGCACACACATCCCCCCCCCCCCCCCCCCCCACACACACACACACATACACCTAGGCTAGAGGTGTGAATACAGTGCCTGGAAATGAGGTGTGAGCAGTGGTGGGAATACTAGTAAATACATGATATTCTGCCACTGAATTGAAATTATTTGCGCTACACCTTTGGCTTTGACCTAATCAGTGTAAGTAGTTTCACCAACCCACTGGTGACTGGACCTCTTCAAAGGAGTACACGTTTTGCAGGTTGAATTCAGGCCACTGTGTGAGACCTGAGTTACCGGACACTGAGAAACATAATGACTGTTGTGACATTGTATACACACTGCATGTACTAGTAACATGCACATGTTCACATTTGAGTGGCAGCAAGATTCACGCATTGGTAGTGTCCTGGTGTAAAGCCTGGCATCAGGAGCGGATCCAGAGATCTCTACAACTTACAAAGGGGGAGGGGGGGGGGGTCCAGTTTAGCCAAAAACTGAATAGCTGATACATGTACTGTACACGTACGTGCATAATAAACACACTTGAGGGGGACGAAAAGCGTTTCTTCTGTAACTCTGAGTTTCCTTGGTGTATTGAGCACTCTCACGAGCAACCACAACTCCCTCCGAGTTTACGTGCATAATAATATTATGGTTTCCAGTATTACGTCATTTGTCAAATTAGGGGTTCAGGGGAACCCCCATGGATCTGCCCCTGGGCATGTATGACCCGGCCCAGGGCACTCCGGTTCTTACTCCATATGGCCCTGGTTGTGACTTCACCATGTGATTTCCCTTTCCTGTAAAGTAAAGCTGGCCCAAGTTACTCCTGGAAAATGGGGCACTCTGAAGACATATCAATATTATCAATGTTATATCTTCACTAGTTTGAGGGAAAAATCTGAAGGAAAAATTGACTGTCACCACCAGGAGTCAGTACTTGAACCAGGGACCCTCGCTTGTAGCTAGCAATGCTCTAACCACTGAGCTATGGTGTAGTCGTCATCCCAGCAGAGACCGTTCAACATTTTCTTCAGACTTCGTAACTCACACTTCCTGTGAATCCACACAGGCGGGTAGGACGCAGCCCTCACTGTACCCACACACTTCACGTACACACTAGCACGCGGGAGCCCCGAGTCATAAAATCTTCACTAGTTTGAGGGAAAGACACAAACAGGAAAGTCTGAAGGAAAAATTGACTGTCACCACCAGGAGTCAGGACTCGAACCAGGGACCCTCGCTTGTAGCTAGCGATGCTCTAACCACTGAGCTATGGTGTAGTCGTCATCCCAGCAGAGACCTTTCAACATTTTATTATATTATAATAATTATTATCTTCAGATCAGGTTTGGACAATATGCACTAGTTGGGTAAACCGTACTACACTTCCACAATCCAGGGTTTTTGTATACTCAGCACTGGACCTGCAGTGTGGTAACTGCTGTGCACCTTGAGACATGGGTGCACACATTTTATGATGATGGTGATGTGTGTGTGTGTGCGTGTGCGTGTGCGTGTGTACGCATGTGTGCTTGCTCTTGTCCTTGTTTGTTTGTTGTGCAGATGTCAGGTGGCTGTGGTGATGCCAAAGTTGGTGGCGTGTTCAACCCCTTCAACAAAATGGGATCAGACATGATGAAGCCGGAGAGGTCTCCAGTGAGTACAATATTGCCACAGTTCCCAGCATCTACTTGAAGTATCTGACATTGCACGTGACATGTGCTTTGTATTGTATGGATGGGTGGGGAGGGGGTAATCCTTTTCAACGTGGGACTTAACATGTACTATTAATATTATTATTATAAATAATAATATTATTATTATACGCACGTCCGCGTTTACGTCAACGGCAAGTACACGTATTCGCATGTGCCAGAAGACAGACAGAGCGGTTATTTTAACATGTTGGTGTGTGCTTTTTGGTATATCATGTACAGACCGGTGACATTGGCGGCAAGTTTGGACGCATGATGCAGGGCCAGGACTGTGACAACTCGCTGTCCCTTTTCGGATCTAACAGCGTTGGGCGCAGGTGCGTCTCTCTACCGCACTTTGCTGCCGTGCACCAGTACTGTACTGTATTGTATTAATATTGTATTGTTTACTTACGGATTCTCCAGAGGTGAATGGATACCTATCATAGCCATCCCTACTTGTCTTTGTACATACATCTACATCTACTGTTCTTTCAATCAAATGAACCCCTCGATAGGCACGTTGCCTTTGGGTCATTTCATAATAATAATAATAATAATAATAAGAATCTCTCCAAACCAGTAGAATAATGAAAAATAGAAGTGGATAAAACTCGAATAAAATCTGAGAATTTAAATCAAAGGAGAGGAAGAAAATCAATAGACTGAGAACCAGGGATGCTAATAGAACACTGGAAAGTCACCAGAACAAGAGTTACTGGGCGACAGAAGAAATAACTGAGCTAATCAGGGATTCCTTTGTAGAGAGAACCTGTGCTCCAAATAATGGTTTCTTAAAACGATGTTTTAAAAACAGGAACAAGAAGACAGTTGCCCCGGCATTGTGTGTGTGTGGGGGGGGGGGGGGGGGGGTATGTGCAATTATTGTACTATCCTGATATGCCACAGTTGTCAAAGGCTGTTACCTTGCCGGATAAGATCATGACTGTAGAAAACCGAAAGAGGACCTTGGCGTGTAGCTGATGGTGATCAACCTTGGTGGGAAGCTGGGCAAGGTTTCACCCTGTGTTATTTAGAAAGACTTGAACGCTTGTCCCGTGTTGTCATTCGGCAGAAATGTTATCTGTCACCTTTGCTACGATTTTGACAGCTATTTTTTGGTACCATGTAGACTTGACATGACATGTATGCATCATACGCAATATGGGCAAGGCATCCTGCAGCTTCAAAACTCAATGAGAAAGTTGGAGCACGAAAGAGCATGATTGTGTGATCAAATGCTCTCAATGAGATGCAGCATCAATGGGAAAATACCATTTATAGCTTGAAAAGCTTCTAATTTGACTTGAGCAATTATCCAGCACTGATCATCTCAGTACTTCTGTCCTTCCTCCCCTCTCCACTGTCTGTGTGCAGGTCAGTTTCAATCACCGTCGGTAATCAAGTGTGGTGCGCCAATCTGACCGAGAAGCTTGCCACTGGTGAGAAGATGATGAGAGCGAAGGCGATGTTCACCAACTCAAGTGGCCCGGTGCGCGGCATGATGTCCATTGAGCAAGTGGTGCGCCCGGACGGTACCATGGGCATCACAACCGTTAGCAGTGATGGACTGATGAACATGGATGGAGCGGTATGTACCAACAACTAGTCCTCTTTACTGGCCTCAGTTCGCCGATCTTGTAAGAAAGAAACAAGGGTGTAACGAACCGCGATTTCCACGAATGATTTTCTCACTCAAATACTAGTACCAATTCAAGGAACGAAAAGAACGGGATATCCACTACCAGTATCATGTGACCTTCTGCATACCTTATTTGGCTGATGGGGGAGCAGTTCTCACTGTAGTCACACAAACTAGTGGGGAGGGGTAGGAGTTGAGGCGGGAGAAAGCCTAGCACTTTGGAGCCTTGTCCGAAAGATCCTTCCTGCGTTTGACAGGATTCCGCTTGTGGGAGATTTCCAATGGTTGCACGTTGGAGGCGCTTTCACATTTTGTTTCCAGTCGTGAAAGGGCTGCGCTTGGTGCAGGCCCCGGCACAACTTACAGGTTCTACTATACAGTGAAATGCTGTCTAAGCCGACCACTCAAGGGACCTTCAAACATATGGTCGCTGTGTACAGGTGGTCTCCTCATCCAGAATGATTTGACTGGAAACAATACCCCTTGGTCCTGATTGTAGTGGTCCTCTGAGGCGTGTGGTCGCCTTGACAGGTCATGTCTACTGTACGTGCAGTTGACCCCTGCTTGTTGCCCGTGTGCATTCCGTTGCCGTGACTGCAGAGCATGAAACACAACTACCACGTGCACATTGGCCGTAAGGGTTACCAGGACACGAGCGCAGCATGCGGCTCTGCATATGCCGGCGGACATTACAATCCATTCAATGTGTCAGCCACTGATGCTAGCAAGTACAATGTGGACTGCAAGCCCGACAATCCGCTGCGCTGTGAGGTTGGAGACACGTCCAAGAAGACCGGCACAATCGACCTAGACACCAAGCCGCTCATCGGACAGGACAGCTTCATGCCGCTGATGGGTGGTCAGTCTGGTGCGTCCCTTTAGCAACTGAGCCCCCCCCCCTCTCTCTCTCTCTCTCACACACACACACACACACACACACACACACACACACACACACACACACACACACACACACACACACTACCTCTATATAAAAATGTATACAGTCGTGCTTTATGGAATAGGGTTCTTGAAAAAAGTTAGCGCCCAGAGTCAGTGCCTGGTGCCAGCTGCCTGCATGGCTCATGCTGTACAGTGCCCGGTGCCAGCTGGCTTACAGCGCCCGGATTCCACAGAACAGCAAATTAAAACTGCAATGTACATGTATGCTTGAACATAATCCCCATACGTGCTCATGTCGTCAAAGAATAGTGTTGGTACGAAGCTGCGCAGGCTCGAGTGGAACTCTGCCATTCACTGATTGTGTTCTGTGCATGATTCTTTCTGGTCTGTTCCCTGTGTAGTAATGGGTCGCTCGTTCGTTATCCACTCCACCAATCAGGGAGCACCACGCATTGCATGTGCGAACATCATTCCGATGTCGGCTTACGACGTCCAGATTGGTGTGAAGACTTCTCGTCTGTCTGGTGGCTTCAGCGCTGCCACGTTTAACCAGCGAGTCAAGGATTCGTCCAGCATGGCCAAGGATGTGGACGTCCTGTACACGACAATGAACACGGACGCCGCCACTGGCTGCACATACATCAACGCTGCTATTGATGGCCCCAATGCACAGACCGTGTCAGAGCAGTTGTCACGTGCCGATCTTGGCACCGAGTACAGCCAGATGGCCTCCGAGTGCACACAGGGCGTCTCCTTTGCCAGTCAGCTCTCCAGTGCCAGCGCAGTGTCCCACGTAGCCTCTCTCATTCTGCTCGCTTGCGCAGCTGTTCTCCTTCTGTAAGCTACCAGCCACCTACATGGTTGTGTGTTACGTGGCTATGCCGCTACTGGTCGTGCTGACAGGTCTGGCTACCGGGCACTGCTTCTAGCCAACATCGCCACCTACTCATACGGCCTGGCTGGTCGCAGCTGATTAGTTGGTCAGCTTTAGTGCCAACTTAGTTTGCTTGATGATAGCTGCTGTCTTCAGCTGCTGCTACTGCGCTGCCTTGTTTTCTCTCTCTCTCTCTCTATGTTATTGTAGTGTGCTGTTTGAACTCCATAGCTACTAGGCTCCGGGAGCCACTGTGACTATTTAACTTATCCCCATCAAATCCGTTAGCCGCATGATAGACGTTGAGCCGATTGGCCTTTCCCTTTTTCCCGCTGGCGTGATTATTCACTAGGTCATGATCTGCTGTGTGCCAGTACCCTTGGTGTTCCCGGTGTACCTTCATTTGTGCCGGTGTTTCCTCTCTCTCTCTCTCTTGATTTTCCAAGTTTCTACAAACTCCTCAATGTACCACGTGTAACACAGGTGCGGTGCACTAAAAAGTACTTCAAAGTATCATACCTGTAATCCTCTGGTCTGGTGCTGTACGTGGTTGCCTTGCCTGGGTCTTCAACGAGCATGGGTTTCATGATTTTAATTTTATGTCAGCGTCCATGCTGCACACTGTGACATACATACAGTACTTCCCACAGCAATGGCCGTGGACTGTGACTACACCTCCCCAAGCCTGACCCGCAGGGAGTTGTGGCCAATGACACGGTTAGTTTGTGGCCATAGGCATAATTATAGGCATGGATATCATATGGGGGGGGGGGGGGGGGGGCAGCACCCAATGCACGTTTACAAAAAGTAGTATGCACCAGGGAGTCGTACCCGTCTGTGCCAAACCTGGTTTGGGTTTCTTCCGTAGTCAGTTCCAGAACGATGTTGCCTGCGTGAGAGTCTCACCATGACTTGGCATAAGAACAAGCCTGAGTACAGTAAAACTAAAAGAAGACAACATGATAACGCTCATGACATGATCAACGGCCAGCTATGCATAATAATGCCCAATTAATAGTAAATTTTTACGGCCGGCATCCAGATTCAAACAAAAATTAAATAATTATTATTTTAATTGCAAAGTACAATTCAAAATATCGCGTTCCATTGCATGTCGAGGACTCATACTACTGTGGTCTTTGCTTCGTCATTCTTTTCGAGTCGATCCTTCTTCGTGTTTATGTTCATCGCGAAGAGCTTAGTTGTGTTCAGTACTAATTCTAGTGTCTGTAGACGCGTCGAGATCAAGCATTGTTAATTGCACCAATTGTTAGCGAAATATTTACCGTATAATTTAGCTTGAATGTTTGTTAGCAGAAAATACCGACTAAGATTGCTTCTTGTTCGAGTTTGCTTGGACAGTGTTGTTATTGAACTGCCATGCTCGTGTACATTTCATGGATTTCTAGTTTAACCCACTGATTGGAGGAGAGGATGAAGTTGAAAACGAACGCAGTCCTGGTGAGCCTGGGAGTGTTTCTGCACGTGACCTGCCTGGTATCTATATTTGACATGTACTTCCGATCGCCTATTGTTCATGGTATGCAGCAGCATGCCATGCCTAAAGATCCACCGGCCAAGCGCCTGGTGCTATTTGTTGGAGATGGTGTCAGAGCCCATTCGTTCTTTGAGAATGAGGTCGGCGGCAAGAGCCGTGTGCCGTTCCTGAACGGCATCATGGAGCGGCGCGGAAGCTGGGGCATCAGTCATACGCGCGTGCCAACAGAGTCGAGGCCGTGCCACGTAGCCATCATAGCCGGTTTCTACGAGGACGTGAGTGCAGTGACGAGAGGATGGAAAGAAAATCCTGTGAAGTTCGACTCTGTCTTCAACCAGTCGACACACACCTGGAGCTGGGGCAGTCCTGACATCCTGCCAATGTTTGAGAAAGGAGCTGTGAAGGACCGAGTGTCGGCGTTCATGTACCCACCGGAACTTGAGGATTTTGGTGATGAAGATGCGTCTCACCTAGACCGATGGGTTTTTGATCGAGTAATTGCTTTCCTCAATCATGACCGACTAAGCAAGGACGATGCAGAACTTCTGCAGAAGCCTGGAATAGTGCTCTTCCTGCATCTTCTAGGCACGGACACAAATGGACACGCGCATCGCCCGGCATCCTGGCAATACAAACAGAACATAGCACTAGTGGACGAAGGAATTCGCAACATTACCGAACACATCGAGGCGTTCTTTCAGCACGACGGGCGCACGGCATATGTGTTCACGTCAGATCACGGCATGACGGACTGGGGCGTGCATGGCTCCGGTTTGGCTCATGAAACACTAACACCGCTGGTTGCCTGGGGTGCGGGTGTAGCTGGCCCTCGCCGTCACTCCCAATCCGACGGTGAATCAGAGCCAGCTAATAGCTGGGGCATGGGAGACTTAGTCAGCCATGATGTGGAGCAAGCCGACATTGCACCTCTCATGTCAAGCCTCCTTGGCATTCACATCCCAGCTAACAATGTTGGAAAGCTGCCTGTCAGCTACCTTGCTACATCCAGTGAATACACCGCTAAGAGTAAGCTAGTCAATGCCAAGCAGCTTCTGGAGCAGTTTGACGTAATGGCAGCTACGAAGCAGGCCAACACGCCCGAGTTTCTGTTTGTCTCGTTTCCTGATCTTCTGCCGAGCAAGCGAAGTGATGTATTCCGTCAGATTGACCAGCTCCTTCGTCAAGGCAGGTCAACTGATGCCATACATCTAATGGAGGACCTCATAGAGCTGACATTGAAAGGCTTACGCTACTATCAGACCTATGACCGTTTCTTCATTGGTGGTGCAGTGGCTCTGGGCATGATGGGTGGCATGCTGTGCATCGTGACGGAAGTACTTGCAACGTCCTACAGCATGGTACCTGTCCGGCCGGTACCTACATGGCTGAAAGCGTTTGTGTCGGTTGTGTTTTCCGCCACGTCTCTGCTGCTCTTTATGCAGTGTGCTCCGCTCCAATACTACGTCTATGGCTCTCTGCCACTCGGCTGCATCGTTGTCTTGAGCCAGCGCGCCTCGGTGTGGGAACGTGCAGTGTCTGGTGTCAGTGGACTTCGATCTCTTGCCAGGCAGCTTTGCTTTCTGCTCATGGTGTTGGGTGGTCTGGAAATTCTTGTCTGGAGTTTCTTCTGGCGCTGGTCACTGTCAGTCGGCCTTGTTCTGATCAGTGGTTGGCCCTGGTTTTCTCCCAGATGCCGAGTGCATTGGGTAATCTGCACAACATGGACACTAGGTTGCCTCCTGCTGAGTGTTTTCCCTACGTTGCCTGTTGTGGGTGGTGAGCCTCAGATTGCTCTGGTCAACGTGGCAGTATGTATTGTTGCGCTTGCCTATCCGGCCGCCACTTTCTTTCTAGATAGGGCTTTGACCATGGAAAGGCGAGAGAGAATGTTGTCTTGTCTGCAGTACGGTCTCTTTCTTGTCGCCGGGTATGTTGTGAACGCTGTTGCACAGCGGAAGAGGTCAGGTCTGCCATTGGCGTGGCAGCAGATGTGCAGCTGGTGTTTGCTGATCGTTTCTCCGTGTCTGCCCATCCTAGGTACCCGAAGGATTGGGATGCGACTGGTACGCATTGCGATGGCGATCAGCACCGTCTACCTGCTGATGTCGATTTCGTACGAGTCGCTATTCATGGTCACGCTGTGCGTGGTCGTCTTCTCTTGGTTGAGTTTGGAAGCACTCGAGCGGCACAGTGCTCAAGTTTGTTTTGCCTATGTCAACCAGCACGAGATAGACAAGGGCATGGCGAAATCACTGTCCAATGAGGCAGTAGGAGGTATGCAGAGCAGGTCACATTCAATCCGGGTTCCAGCTTCAGATAGATCCACCAAGAACGACAGCACTACTAATGCTATTGGGTGGCCTGAGGTCCGATCGGCATATCTGCTCGTGTTCTTTTCCACAGTGGCCTTCTTCGGCACAGGGAACATTGCCAGTTTGAATTCGTTTACTGTGGCCTCCATCACGACGTTTCTCACAGTATTCTCACCCACACTGATGATGATGCTACTGATTTCTAAGATTGCCATTCCACTTTTGATTGTAGCTTGTGTCTTCAATGCAGTGCGAGATGTTTGCCGTGCACCTGTGCGAGAGTTCTTTGCGCTGTCCCTGGTAATGAGCGACTTCCTGGCACTGCACTTTTTCTTCATGGTTCGGGACTCTGGCAGCTGGCTGGATATTGGCACCAGCATCAGCCATTTTGCCTTGGCCACCATTATGGCTGGTGCCTTGCTAGTGATTTGCACCCTGGCGCACGAGTTTATGGCTGTGCGCGCTGTAATCGGCTCAGACAAGTCTCACGAAGACTAGGCTATTGTATTCTAGGTGCTTTTTTTTCTTTTTCTTCATTACGTTTTTACTCTCTTTAAAATTTAAATTAATGTCATTAAGACTCATTATATCCTGGCTCGATGTTCTTATTAATTCTAGCTGTGCTGTGTTTGTACATTTTATAGATGACTTATGACCCTGGCGGTTACCTTAGTAGGCACTAGATCCAATGCAGGGAGTTGTATAGGTCTATACAACTCTCTGATCCCACGTGACTGGCAGACATCACCCCAATTTTTTTGAATTCTGCTTTAATATTCCTTGAGGTTTGGAAGGCTATTAATTTTCGGGCTACATGTATGTCTCTGTTCAGTGCTTTGCACACACCCACCAGCTATTACATGTCCTCCCTTATTTTCACCCTGCAGATTATTTAAATCTTATCCGATCTTCACTGACCGAGTTCACAGTTATAGCATTCTTATGTAATTTGGCTTGAGAACCCGAGTCTGTCACTACATGTAGCTGTGTGTGTACACGTACACACGTGGGGTTCGTGGTCCTGCTTGAGTGCTAACACCGCATTTTATGTTTATGTTTTTTTTGAAGACGTACAACTACAGGGTAGTACAGTGTGCTTGGATCACTACTTCACTACTTCAGTACAAGTGCACTGCGGTTGGTGTGCCACAGCCAGGATACTAGTTTGTCTGCATTTGATGACCAACATTGGGTTTCGCAATTCTAGTATCATTTTACTTCTTGCATGGTTTGCGAATATACACACTGTATCCGGGGCCGAGATCTCTCCAAGCCGTTCCTCCTGGCATAGTTATGCTGACGGCGTTCACCCAATCAGCACACTGCGCACGTGCTAGTCTTGACCAAAACTGGTGACTGGTGTGCCACTGATTGCTTCATCAGCACATCGTCTATATGTAGGTGCTGATGAACCAATCTTCCAACCTCTGGTTCACTGCAGGTGTGTGTAGTGGCGACATACACGCAAGCTTTGAAAGCAGGTTGATATATCCAGACGGTAGGTAGGTGGATTTATCAAGACATTAAGGTGGTTAAAAAACCCACACTGGTACAAATAATTAAATTAAGTGACATTCGATTCCGTGAATGGGGTAGGTCCTGCAGATATTTCGGAGATGAAAGATGGGGACATGCAGCCGATACTGCAACAAACATACTCATTCCAATCAAATACAACACCTTTGCATAGAATTGCAGGATACCATAATTGGCGATACGTACTAGCGCCTGGAAACCAGCAGCCGAAAGATCCCTGTAGGCACTGTGACCAACAAAGACGCGCGCGGGCATGTGTGTGTGTGAGAGAGAGAGAGAGAGAGAGAGAGAGAATCAATGTCAACAGCAAAAAATTGTCCACAGCGCTTTACGGAATGGAAACAATCATGAAAGGTCCAACTAAAAATAACAAGTTCAGACATGAAGCAATTTATCAGGCCAGTGAGACAAAACTAAAAGCAAAGCAAAAAACAGCTCTAAAAAATGGTTCGGTGTCCAGGAAAGGAAGCATACCGCGCCCTAACTCACATATGCACCATCATTTCAGTCCCAAGCGCTCCTTCTCCTTTTGCTTCTTCCTCGCAACAGTCAGCTGTCGATCTTTCCATGTACTCTTACGGAGCTTTATTGGCCGACCAGCGACATATTTACCATTCATCTCTTTCATCGCAGCAAGGTAATCTTTCGGATCCTTGAAACTAACGAAGCCAAAACCACGGCTCTTATTAGTTCGGTTATCTCGCACAATTTTGCACTTCTTGAGAGAGGGATACTTTGAGAAAGCACGGAAGAGTACTTCATCCGTACACTCGTGCCCGAGATCACCAGCAAAGATGCGGAAGTCGCTTTCATCCCATTCCTCCAGCGTGTTGTCTACCCATGTGACACCTGCAGCCGTACGCAAGTTCTTCTTCTTCTTCTTTCCTTGTGCTCCTGCGGCAGCTCCCGTGCTGAACTGTGACTCCCACTCCTTCTTCTGTTCGTCGGACAGAGTATCCAGGGGCATAACTACTGAGCTAGCTGCCATCATACCCGGAGGTGGACCAGTAGGCATAGGACCTGGGGGAAGACCAGGTGGGGGCAATCCGCCAGGGCCTGGCATCATCATCATGCCTGGTGGCATCATGAAGCCCGGAGGTGGACCAGTAGGCATAGGACCCAGAGGAACACCTGGTGGAGGAACTCCTCCAGGGCCTGGCATCGGGCCTGGCATCATCATCATCCCTGGTGGCGGTCCACTAGGTGGCATCATGAAGCCAGGCGGTGGACCAGTAGGCATGGCTTGTGTAGGAATCCCTGAAGTCTGTGGCGCTACGAAGGGTGGCGGAGCAGCTGCCATAGACATCGTGCTTGGCGTAGCGCCAGGGTTTGGGCGAGCTCCACTGATTTCTTCCTCAAATCTGGACATCTCCTCCGCCAAGGAGGCAGCATTACTCGCAGCCATTGCGCCAGCACCACTGCAGACTTACGATGTACTTGCTTATCCACTATTCTATGCGTATGACACCAGCGTTCCTCCACACAAAAGGTATTTACCTTTTCAAAATGTGATAAACATCCACTGGACTCTTTTTTTGTTTGAAGTCATTCACCATGTTCACAAAATCAAATCTGACAAAATGTTTTTATGGCCTCGATCGCGCATATGCGCATATCAGGGAGTCGTAAAATACCGGTATTTTACGACTCCCTGGGCCTGGCGCATATCGATCGGATCGATCGGCCTCAGCTCATCGTTCTTTTTTCGTATTTTTTGTAGATTTTTGCTTTTTGTTCTTGCTACATAACTTCAACGCAAAACTTGGGAAACGACCACCCAGTGACTGCCACTCCGTATCCTATGCTGGTTCACACTCAAGGGGCCATCGCAACTACAGCGGCCAGACTTTGGCTGATTTCGCGTCCAGCAATTACCTATTTGCCTGTAACACGGCGTTTCAGCACCGTGCAGAACATATCACCACATGGACAGGCTGGCGCCACAACCCTAGTGGAGGTCCACCTTTACCCATTTACAACCAAATAGATTATATCCTTTGCCGTCACAGTGAAAGGTTTGTGGTGACGGATGCCAGATCATACGCCGGGACAAGCTTAGAAAGCGATCACCGTCTTGTGCTGGCAAACCTCAACCTGACTAAGTTGTACAAGAAGCTCAAGAGGCCGCCAGTAGCCATATCCAGCAACGCAAAATTCAATATATCCGAATTTAGTGACCCGACCAAGAAAGCAAAGTACAGAGAGGCTATCAACGAACATCTACAGGACCTCGGCAGAGAGCAGGAAGGTGTCAATGCGGAGCAACATCTGCAGTATATTGTGAACGCTATGAGTGAGGCAGCAAACACATCGGTGGGCCGCGTCCCTAAAACAAACAAGACGCATAGAAATGGCTTCAGCGGGGAAATTGAAAAGCTAGCAGCAGAGAAACGCAAACTGCGTCTCGACATTACGGTGTGCAGAGATGGAACGAAGGTAAAAGAAATGAAGACGCGACGCAACAGGCTGGCACACCAAATTCGCCGGGAATGCCTCAAGTTAGCATCGACTCGACTGGACGAACGTGTAGCTGAAATAGACCAAATGAAAGACGACGCGAAAATGTTCAAAGCAACACGACTACTGCGCCGACAGCAGCAGTCACCAGTTGTGGTTGAAGACTCTGATGGCAAACTCATTGCACAACCTAGTGAATCAGTCGAAGCATTAAGGCAACACTTCCGTGCTATATTCTGTGATCCTGCTCTGGAGTCATCTAGGCTCTTACGGACAGAGGAAGACCTTAAAAACCCTATAAAGCAGCCAGAGGTACATGCCGCAGCTAAGCGCTTGAATAATGGCCGAGCTTCGGGACCAGATGGGATACCTGCTGAACTTATCAAATATGGAACACCAGCACTGTTCTCGAACATTGCCACTACATTCAACAATTATGCCAAAGACAAATCACTCAAGCTAGGCGATGGGCTACTGATCCCGATACCAAAGCCGGGAAAGAAAAGAGGTCCTCCTGGAAATGTAAGGCCAGTTACCCTGTTGAACACCCTACGTAAACTTCTTTCATTGGTCATCCTGACGCGGATCAAGCCAGCTATCAACGGGTACTTGTCACTGAACCAGAGCGGGTTCCGGTCAGGGAGAAGTACTGGAGACGTGGTATATAGCTATCGGTGGTTATCAGCAAGATGCCAGCGTGTTGCGTCGGAGATCTCAATCTTAGGCATTGATATGTCAAAGGCATTTGACACTATATCAAGGGTCAGGCTGATCGATATACTGTCAACAGTCATTGATCATGATGAGCTGCACATCATCCAGTGCCTTCTGACAGACACCACAATAAAAGTAAAGCTGAATAACATTCTCAGCCAACCATTAGTCACACACAATGGAACCCCACAAGGTGATTCTCTATCGCCAGTCCTGTTTACTGTCTACCTCGAGGCTGCATTGAGGTTGATTCGAGAGCGACTCTCACCGCGACCAGCATTGGATATTCAGCTTCAATTGCCCAATGAAACAGCGTATGCGGATGACGTAGACTTCATCAGCACCAGCCTACAATATTTGCATGACAATCAACCCATACTATCATCCTCGTTAGCGGAATACAATCTAAAAATGAATGAAGCCAAAACCGAATATACTACAATTAAAAGAGAAAAGGACAGAGTAGACGAGCGATGGCGGAACACGGTCAAACTAGGATCGATGCTTGGAGTGGAGGAAGATATCAGTCGGAGAAAACGTCTAGCAACATGCGCCTTACATCAGCTGTGGGTGATATGGCTAAGAGGTAACCATGCCCGTGAACCCCTTCGGATTAGGTTATACGGCAGCTTTATTCTCCCAATACTTCTTTATAACTGCGGCACATGGAGCCTGACAGAGACTCAAGAAAAGAAACTTGACTCGTTCCACCGCCAGCAGTTACGAGCAGTCATAGGGGTCAAATATCCCCGTATAATACGCAATGAAGCACTGTACAAGCGCACTGGCTCCAAGCCACTCAGCAGAATCATCCAGTCTGCTAGGTGGAGAATGTTTGGCCACATGCTTCGACTAGACACCTCATCCCCGGTCCAGCAGGCTATGTCGGCATACTTTCAGCCAGGAAGCTCAGGGTTCCGAGGCCGCCCGAGAACAACACTCCCGCGATCCATCAACAACGACCTGAAAAATTCCAGATCCACAAACTCCCTCACATCACACGAGGATCTAGTTGCACTGAGGCAGCTCGCCCAGGATCGTCGAAAGTGGAAGGATCTAATGTGTGCTGTGTGTAATGGCTGAAGTTATACAATTACACTAGATACCCTTAACAATAATAACGGATACAATTACACTAGATACCCTTAACAATAATAACGGATACAATTACACTAGATACTCTAGATACTAGAGACTCGGTACTCTAGATACTAGATACTCTAACAATTTTATCAAACATTATGATAATTACCACATCAAATGCTGCGGAGACCTATCCAGAATCGGCAATATGCTGGCCCTGGCCTGGAGATCTGCAACTATAATCAGCTTCTACTTTGCAACACTAACGGATTAGTCCCCTTTGTCGATTGATGGATCAATCGGTAGATTCGGCTCTGTTTTTCTTCCCTTTCTTTCTTGTTTTGAATTGTACGTTGAACTCATTGGATTTCTTTGTATTCTGTATCTCGTTATCGTTATATTTCCCTCTAGCCCTCTCGCTTAGGATGAGCTTTCTTTTTTATGGCAGCTTAAGCGAAGGCTATATACCTGCTTTATGCAGGTTGATGCCAACGCGAACAAGCAAAATAATAATAATAATAATAATAACATAAAAAAAACGTTCGCGGCGGCGCTAACTAGACACAGCATGCAGCTAGCATGTAGACTGCATGCATGCATGCGCATGCGGTGAACAAGTCAAATGCTTCGCGGTTCGCTGCGCGCTACCATGCAGTGACTCCCGCTCACTCAGTCTGCTTTTCCGCTTTCGATCCGAGACTGGAAAAGTCTACGTCTTGACTTCGGTCCAAAGTTTGTTTCGTGGAGAGATGGAACAGATCTGTGCAGATCATGCAGTGCATGCACTGATCAGTCTGATTGATGCGTTGATGTAGCGACGACATGTGGTAAAAGAGATCTTCTTCATAGATCTACGCACAGCAATTTTGCGGATTGTCAGACCTCCACAGCCACAAACAGTTTGGAATTGTTTTCTTCTTCTTGGCGTGTTGAACTCCTCCGAAACCCATAAGCACTTGCAAGGGGTGAAAGAGGATGCAACACTGAACTTCCGCTGCTCTTCGGAGGGTTGAGTGGTGGTATTACCGTAGTCTTGGCCACTGTTCGTCTTCAGGGAGTGGAAGAAATATTTTGGAGCCGTTCATGTCGAAGTAGATTAACCAGTGGTTTGGAATGACAGTCTACTAAGAGAGCTTCGAAGTAACCAGTAAGGACCTAGGTATGGCTGCTCAGGGAGAGCCTTCAGTCGACGCAAGGAAGCTTTGTGTGACCATATCCCAAGATGAGGAAGGTACATGTAAGTTTCGAAACATAAACAGGATGTACTATCAAATGTAGAAAGAGTACATGTGTGCAGCCTGTTCTGAGAGCCAACCAGAAGGCTGGCCAGCACTGTCAGGTATCGTTGAACACGCCAAGAGAGGCTTCGAAGTATTCCGGCTTGCGTTCATGTTGCGAATGCCAAAACTTGGAACTTTCTTCCAGTGTAATGAAAAACTGTGCGAAAAGTACAAATATACATGCATGTCACGAAATCAAGACAATTCAGATGTTCTGCCAGTAGGGAGTGAACTGCATAATTAAAAAAACCTGGCTTTTTAACAAGGTTCCTACCTGGAATGCTTGTGAGAACATGGTCGGATACACGTACATTGCAAACAAGAGTGCGCAACTCCACTTTGTTTGGTCAGCAACGTATTTTCAGTGGACGTCAATGTTTCTGGAGATCATGAGTTACATACCGTATTTCCGCGCATATAAAGCCATGGCGTTATATCCGAATATAAGGCCACCCTCACTTATAAAGCCATGGCGTTATAAGTGAACAAAATTCAATGTGGAGAAAGTTGCATCCGGCGTTAAAGGTGAATTCAATTCTTTCAGTGAACCTACAGTAGCGGTGATTCTCTCTACATGTACCCATCCCCACTGTCACATGCCATACCGCCACCGCACCTTCACACAAGTTTTTATGCCACCTTGTACACAATAGGTTCACAATTTGAAATTTTCAGGGAAAATTGAAAGTACATGGATGCTCGACATGAACGTGCAACGGCACCGTACGAGTACTCGAAGTTCATACTCTGCCGATTTTTTGCATGTAAGCGTCTCTCACTTTTAGCGCCATGGCGTTAAAACCGAGGCTATTTTCTCCAAACATTTGGTCCAAAACAGCGATGTTTCACCTATAACGCCATGGCTTTATATGCGCGGAAATATGGTATACCATACGCAGCATGTGCTACGAGTCTGTTGCTGCGTGAAGTTGGGCGGCTTTCACTTAACCTGCACTATGAGTACGATAAAAAGCTACAGCATTGGGAGAATTTACCTCGCTCGTCGTCCTTGCTCCGGACGATTCAGCAGGCTTAGTTGTACCTCGGCGGCGCCTATCCCCTCTCCTAGGTAGTGACGGTGGAGAGACCTTTTTGAAAGTTGGACCTTCTACTCGCTCTCTCCTTGCCGACGTCCAGCCGTTGACTCCACGAAGGAGTTCATCCGCCTGTGACGCGACATCCAGCGCTCCCGTCATTGAACGCCTTTATGTGTGACACCTCTTCAAGAGTTGAACTCTCTACTAGCTCTCTGTCATTGACTGTTCTTCAGGGTTGTGTTGCTGGAGGTCGTGGCCGAGGCGGACCCAGAATGTCATGGCTTGATAATATTATTTCATGGACTGCACTTGACGTGCAGTCCCTGCTCGCTGCTGCACGCTATCGATTTTTATGGCGCTCGCTTGTTCATACTTGCTCTGTGACGCCCCGACGGCCTTAGGGCTATGGGCTTGTGATGATGATGGTGATTGGGAGAATAAGTCGAATTTCGTTTTGAATTAAAGCGGCGAAACTCAAGCTCATGCTGAAGACTGGCGCCCAGAGCATGCGTTGCGCCTGCTTTGTACAAGCGTCCTGTGACACCAACAACAAATTCCGCCGTGGACCAGGCCAGCTGTGAAGTTGCATACTCTTTATTATCTTTGACGTCACACTGCTCATCGTACTCACCACGTTGTAGTAGGCAAGGCTATACTACGCCTGACATTTGTCTATTGCAAGGTGGCACTCGTCCACTAACACGCCTTGTGCACTTCGTAGCCTGAGGCTGCCGGAAGCTAAAGGCCATGCACTGCACCGTCACACACACACACTGAGTGTTGACCTTCCTCGTCCGACTACTGAAATCACATTTTTCTGGCAGGTTCTATATACCCTACCACCTAAAATGAGATTCAACCGAAATAATGCAATTCCACCGACTTTGAACATTCCCAGCGTACCACTATGTGCAACACAAGTTTGGACGGTTGGCATTCTCACATGGAAACATAAAGCCCGCGTGTCTCACCGTGGGCAATGTCCTTGCATCAAACGGCGGAAACGATAGCAAGACTACTGCACAGCGTACACATCATGCCACATACTGTTTTGTCTCTGTGTTACGTGTTTATGTCTTTTATGCGTCAGTCCCTAACCTAAGAAGTTAGGTGTATGCTCAAATGTTGAGTGCATGATGATGGGGAGTATATGTAACAGTCACCGCGCATGCATCCGGTTGAGAGCTAGTTAGAAGTGACATGCAACGCAGTGGGCACTGATAATCTCAGAGGTACAAAATGACACCGGAGCACTTATGTGTACGATGAAATTAGGTACGCGCGCACGAGTGAGTTAGAACCCAGCACCAGTGCACGGCCCGGTGTCCTCAACTTCGGGGATGCACAGCGCTTGACGCTAGCTGACTCCCGACTCCCGGATTCCACACAGAGCAGCAATGTACGTGGGCCAGGTGTGTACTCGTGGTAGGATGTGGAGGGGTTTCCGGACTTACTCCCCTGTTTACTGACTACACAAGCCGCTGCCCAAAAAATCGATCAGTCCTCAATGCACCCAGCTAAGTAAATCACTATTTCCCCTGTGCTTGCCATGTCCAGGTGACTTGGAGCTAGGTCACACACCCGATGACCATGATGAAGCACTGTTCCAAGATCCTGAAACAGGTACATTGAACTACTCCTCATTCCTTTTCTTATGCATGCACTATGATCATTTGGAGCGGCCAGCTGCTTTGCTGATGCGTGTGTGTTGCATGTGTGTGTGTGTGTGGGGGGGGGGGGGGGGGGGTTCTCAAGGCCACAGGACTTGCAATGCCATGCCCAATACTGTTGACTTTGCGATTTCTCTCTCTTCTCTTCTCTCTTCTTGTCGTCTCCCGCTTCTGGGAGCGACGTGGCCCGATAGGGTAGCTGTACATAGTAGTAGTAGTAGTAGTAGTAGTAGTAGTAGTAGTAGTAGTAGTAGTAGTAGTAGTAGTAGTAGTAGTAGTAGTAGTAGTAGTAGTAGTAGTCACATCCTTTATTGCTGAACCCACAAATAATTGTGATACAAATTGTAAACCATCCGAGGAAGAAGAGAAAGCCATTAAAAAATAAAAAATAAAACAAAAAAGGTTATTGTACCATGCCAAACGGCTATTATTAAGTCATGTACCAATTGTAATACATGACGTAGTATAGTAGTCAAGCACCTACAAAATACTTTGCAGGATAATATTCAAATTGCCTAGCATGCCTACAAATCCGCAGAGCATGCCAATGTTAAATAGGCCAACATATGAATACCGAAGGCGGTTACATGGACAGAAGGCGACATTGGTCGAGAAAAGATGGGCCTATTCTCTTCCTCAAGTAAGACGCTCTGCAACCACGGAGGCACGTGATTGACCACCTCAGCAAAACAAATGCAATTTTGCAGCGTAGCTGTGCCATCACAACAGCGTACTGGAGGTCACTATGCTTGTTAACCACCAGCTGAACAATGTTCTTCAATGCACGAGAGCACTCCGTGCCACATACGCCGTTTGTCGAGAATACGAGCGGAGTGAATGACCCCCTCTCGACATCGACAACACGCTGAAGATAGGCCCGCTTCTTCTGATGTTCATTCCGGGAAATCTGTGCAAGGACTTCCTGTCGCGACAGCAAAGACGCCGAGGGGTGAGTAACCCTCACATCAAAGAATGCATCTTGCTGTGGCGACCAAAAGCCCCTTGCACGGATATCCAATCGAGCCTCTGCAGCACGATTAGCGGTAGCGCCGTGAAGTTGTTCACCATCCAACGGCAAAAGCGGTGGCTCTGTCTGAACATCCGGGATGGCAGAAGTCATCACCTCCACCAGCACATCACGAAGCTCATTGTGTCGCAGACTTGGGTAGCCCCCTGTAGGGCATGTCAATGCATGGTCGACAGACATGTCTCTACCACACACACAAGTTGGTGGGAGGCCATCAATAGGGAGGTTTAGTTCCCACGTAACGGAAACGCGTACGTGGGTGATCCACGTAAAGTGGATGAAGGGCACCCACGTTGCAATGTTGTGTTTAGTCACACGGAACAAACAAAAGCATGAAGCGAAAGGCCAAAACCTGGTCAAAGACGAAGCTACCCCGGCCTAAGAAGCTCATCCAATATTTTGATTTCGTGCTTCGGAAACTTCTTCAGTTGAGCACCCTCACAGCTCGCACAATGCGCTCCATTCTGATTTTCACCCACGTTCTGGCGGAACGTGGGTGAGCCTCCATACACGGTATGTCGTGAATCAGAAAACGTCTGTACGTGGCCACTGAGTATCACGTGGTACACCCACGTAAAGTACCCACGGATTACGTGGGACTAAACCTCCCTAATACCCCAGCCATAGCGCAGGGCGAGACCATCCCGGAAACATGCTTTATTTAGCGCAAAGCCGTTCACAGCCAGAGGCTCAGCCGTTAGCCAACTGGACACGCCAGCATCAGCAGCAATCTCCAACAGCACTCGCTGACATGGGCTGAGCTCAGGACGCAAAGCAACCTGAGCCTCCTTAGCCGCAGTAGCCATTCTCCGACGTTCAGCATTTCGCAACGCTATTACCTCCGCCTGCAAATCAGCCGGAGCAATGTCAGCATCAGGGCGACGAAGCAAATCAATCACCGGCCGTGCCGAGGCCATACTGGAGGTCCACTGATGCACTGCATGAGGCCCAATGGCAGGAATTGAGAGACCACCGGACTTAACAGGCAAGCCGATGAGACTCCGCTCAATGGCGGACATGTTCTTCCGACCAGTGATTGCTGGTATCAAACTGTTGTCAATCACATTATCTAGCCTGCCGAAAGCATCCGGCTCCGGCAAGCCATGTGAGCACATATGATAGCGCCAACGCGACCTCAATCCACGGGAGAAAACAGAATATGCAGCATGTGGCTGGGTTTCCGCCAGAGTGGAGAGAGTACCGACCTCCCTGCACCATACGGAAACATGACGACACAGACTCTCCTGTACAAATTCCTCCTCACCAATGGCCCCACCAAGATAACGAACACCATTGGTCAGCACACGTATACCCGTTGGGTCGAACAGCTCTCGGGCTTCTGACTCCAGGGCGGGTTTCACCAGCAGAACTGTCTTGGCTGCATTAGGGTAATATCCATACTTCGGGCCAATCTCCTCGATTGATTTCCAAAACGAATGCACGGCCGCCAATCTGCCACCAGACTCGCCATCATCCGCGTACCAGCATTGGTTCACATCAGGGTGCTGTTCACGGAGTTTACAAATCATAGGAGCCACCGCAAGAGCAAACATGGCCATGGCCAGAGGGTCTCCCTGACAAGTTCCCTCGCGCGAGTACAATACTACGCCACCAGGAAGAAATAGTGGAATATCCGCACCATATGTATTACGAATAGTAGTAGTAGTAGTAGTAGTAGTAGTAGTAGTAGTAGTAGTAGTAGTAGTAGTAGTAGTAGTAGTAGTAGTAGTAGTAGTAGTAGTAGTAGTAGTAGTAGTAGTAGTAGTAGTAGTAGTAGTAGTAGTAGTAGTAGTAGTAGTGTGTGTGTGTGTGCGTGCGCGCATGCGTGTGTATGTATGTGTGTGTGTGTGTGTGTGTGTGTGTGTGTGTGTGTGTGTGTGTGTGTGTGTGTGTGTGTGTGTGTGTGTGTGTGTGTGTGTGTGTGTGTGTGTGTGTGTGTGTATGCTTGAAGGCACAAAAGCTTGCACACGTACACCCATGTGTGTGTTGGGGGGGGGGCATGTCTACATTAAATTTTGATGACATAGTCATTTGAAGTTGGCCTGTCTCACATACTGGTACACATAACATGTGGACGAGGCCCAGGTGTGTATTTGACGGCACTGGCCATGAGTTACTCATGTCTTACTCCTTTCCTCTCACCACTTGCACCTCATCTCACCTCTGTCTAAAACTTGCAGCTGAGTTGGTGATGTACCCTCGGTGTGTGCTTTTGGTGCCTGTCATCTTATTTCACCACATTCAGCTCGCACTTGTGCACGTTATACTATGGGCGCATATCCTTCACTTGAGCAAAGGTACCCACACTTGCTGCAGCGTATATCAAACACATCATTTGGACACCGTAGTCAGTGCTGTCTGATGATCGCTAACGCCTGAAACTCCGAGTAATGGCAATAAAGCTTTAGTTTCCCTTCCCTATACCTGTAACGTGTCAACATGTGTTTGTACTGTCTTTGCAGCTACAATCCAGAATGTAAGCGTGGACTGCTTGTCGGATGATTCATGCAGTGATTCAGGTATGTCAAGGTTTGTCTTCACGTAGAAAGCTCTGAATATTCCCTAAACTCCGTGACCCTCCAGGACTTTGCACTTTGCATTGCCATGATCCTCTGCATGCTTGTTGAGAGTAAGAAAGTATCCCTATTTAAATGCTGTTTTTATGCAACGTAGTAAGCGAACATACGATGCATGCGGACCCATGTCTGGTCTCAAGAACAGCTGAAATACAATTGGAGAATACCCACACTTGGAAGTGTATTGACCGACTCCAAAATAGCCACTCGGTGCTGATAGTGCTACTGTAGTAGTATTTTTGCAAGTCGGTAACCCTATGCATTTCCGTTTATACTGTAGAGGCAGAAAATTTCGTCGGTCAATAATTTCGTCCAACTCCAAAGAAAAGGAGTTCGTCCGGTTGAAAATTTCGTCCATGGATCATAAGAGTGTATAGAAAAGCTGGACAAATCGATATTCGTCCTACATTTAACCCTTTAAGAGCCGCCCCATACTTGAATGCGTCGTAAACGACGCATTCAAATGCAAAACTCCAAAAGATCGTAACTCAGTCCAATCTCGCTCAAATCCATCGATCGAAATATCCAGGGCGAAGAGAAAACTCTCACCTGTCGGGAGAAACAATCTGCAAAGCGCTGCGAGCAACGGTTCCCGAGATAAATCACTCGTAAGTTGAGCCGCGATCGCGGCAATTTCAAAAGCGCGCAGTGCAACTTTAGTATTGAGATTTTTGAGACTTTTCGTCACGCTGGTTTACTCGAATTTGCACAGGTTTCATTGTTGATATTGTCAAGAGTACACAGCAAAAAAACTGGAACTCCACGATCGAGTAGAATGAAATATCTGGAGCGGGACGCAATTGGACGCATTTGGGGCATTTTTCGTAATGTCGCTGCGATCTAGCGCTGGATAGACGGTGTGCTGGCTATCATGATCGACCTCATTCTCTTCCTCTCGCGGAGACCGTTCCAGGAAGCCCTAGTTTGTGAGGATTGAGTGAGTAGAACTGAAGCTATGATCCGAGGAACACGAAAAAATGCAGATTTTTGAAAATTTCCTGTGGCTCTTAAAGGGTTAATTTAGTCCAAAAGCTCCTTGGACGAAAAAGGCGAAATTAAATTCCAGACGAATATTTCTGCTTATACAGTAGTTATTTAGCGCTCAAATACATGTACATGTGCATGATATCATATGTGTGTGTGTGTGTGTGTGTGTGTGTGTGTGTGTGTGTGTGCGTGCGTGTGCGTGCGTGTGTGTGTGTGTGTGTGTGTGTTCTGCGGTTGTCAGTTGTTGGGTTATTCAATAGCCTATTGAGTCATTTTTCCAAGATTCCTTTTGAATCTCTCCCCCTCTCCCGGGAGACCCATGCTACCAGGTTTTGACAATGAGCAAGTACATGTGTCTGTGTGCGTGTGTGGAGGGGGGGGGGGGGAGTAGTGGGCGGGGATGGAGATGGCGTCTGCAGCATTTCTTCTGCAGTTCATTTTGTGTGGATGACGTGTCGCCTTTGCTCTGCAGAGCCAACATTTGAAGCAGCAGCCTACATTGATCAGCTTAGAGCAGAGATCAAGCTTCCGTCACAAGTGTGTGTGGACTTTGCCAGCGACTCGGAAACAGACCAAAGTGGTGAGTTGGCCTGTCTTGTGTTCACTACGGGCAATTAGGGAGGGCCCAAATATGCTCACAAATTTCGCATATTATGCTTTTCGCATATTGGCCACTTGCTTCAAAATATGCTTCGAAATCACACAAAAGCAGAAAAATATGCTCGAAATATGCTCGAAATATGAACTGATATCAGTGATAATTATGCGAATTCTTTACTCCTTGTAGCAAAATATGCTACATTTGGTACAATATGCTAGATTTGCTACTTTATGCGACCTTGAGCCGCGGACACTCTCTTCTCGGGTCAAATTTTCGCCCCGTGTTTGGATGAGCATTTTTCCTTCCGGGCTATGTTTGGAAGTGTTCCCTGACCGAGCGTGCCGTGGTCAGTTTCCTTGTCCATTTCCGCAATCTGCCCTATAATTATGCGAATTCTTTACTCCTTGTAGCAAAAATATGCTACATTTGGTACGATATGCTAGATTTGCTACTTTATGCGACCTTGTGTCAGAAGGATCAAATATGCGAAAATATGCGCAAGCATATTCGGGCCCTCCCTACGGGCAATGCACTTGCATGTTTGAGGTGTAAACCTTCTTTTCGTTTTGCTTACTGGTGCATGGAACTACTTGAATACTATATTTGTGTAGAAACCTGTATGGAATAGCCTTATCAGAATTAGCCTTGCGCTTACACATGAGTTTACATGTGGCCTTGTTTGACACTTTTCTTGCAGACAAAGAGGACAATGGCGAGTCTGAGATTGACTGCAAGGAGTCATGGAACAGCTACGAATCAGATCTGGACATGATCATACGTGGTGCGAGCCCATTGAAAGGGAAGACGACAACACCAAGCTTAAAACGGTAGGCCGAGCTGGCATCCGCCATTGTAGTTCGGTACCAGCAGCAGTCGAGTTGATTCGCAAGCTGTTGAATGTGTTGAGCACACCCATTGATCGATCGATGGATTGATTGATTGTGCTTTTGGTATCTGGTTTTAGCACTTCTGCCTTGCGATTTGCAAAAAAAGTTTTAGTTCAATATACAGTGAAACAAGAGTCCTCCAGCTCGGGATAGTGCTCAGTTCACGCAGAGTTAGGAAACTAGGTCAAACACGTTTGTATATTCGACATAACACTCTTCATATACAGTCAACTTCGCTTATAACGACACTCGGCGGGGTATCAGAAAAGTGTCCTTTTTCGCGAAGTGTCTTTATACCCAGGGGCGTGCTCGGCTCCCCTTCCAGGGGGGTGCACCGCTTCCAGACAACAGCAATTATTTTCAAAAGGTTGTACCGGTGACATCATCAGATATTTCTACATGTGACATCATTATTACTGTTACAAAGATTGTATGTCATCAAGAATGAACACAGTACAGCATCATATCAATTTATTCTAAATAAAGGATGAACACTTTACAAATGTTTAAAAACCAAACCGTCGACGGCACTGTGCCAGGCAGGCCGATGCAAACACACATTGCACGGATATAGCTAGGAACAATCGTCACACTAATTGACGTATCTCAGGATTCGGCGAGGAGAGCGTCGAAAGAACAGCTTCAGCACCTCATCTGTGTTTACAGGCATGCCGTAGCGGGTATGCAGCAGAGCAAGCCCGCTGCAACGCTCTCCAGTCATGGTGCTCCTCAGGCAAGTCTTCATCAAACACTGCAGGTTGCTGATGCTGCGCTCACAGGAGCACGTGGTTACGGGTAGCGTGGCTAGGAGGATGAGCAGCTGGGTCACTCCCTTGCACAGGCTCTCCTCCACAAACTTGGCACAGTCAGCGAGGCTAGTAGGCAGGTGCTCAGGGGAGATTGCAGTGAGAACAGTGCAGAATGTATCCAGCTCCGCTCTCAAGGTCGCTAGCCTGCATCCAGCTGGGAGGTCCTCCTCATGCTCTGCTGCGAAGGTCATCGCGTCTGTCTTGGCCTCTTCCGGGTTGGCCAGCAAAACACGAGGCAAAAGCGACAAGCCTTTGCCAATCTTTTGCTGGAGTGGACCGAATCTCTGTGTAAACTGTCCCAAGAGCTCGTCCAGCAGAGGAACTGACACTGCTCTGCGGGACTGCCTGGCTGCATGTAGGCCGCACACCAGGCCCCTACTGCACTACAACTTACTAGTACAATGTACAAGACACAGGTGCAGGATGTGCTCCGGCGAGGTCGGGCTTTCCGCAATACATTGGTGACTTTTCAAAACCCCGGTCGAAATATTTTGGGGGGTGCACTTGCCCCCTGTGCCCCTCGCCAAGCACGCCCCTGATACCCGAAGTCTCATTATATGTACTTCAAAGTATTACAGTTGGATGGGACTTTGCTCTGGGCATGGAAATTCTGTCGTTATATCCGCAGTCGTTATTAGCGAAGTTGACTGTACTCCAGAATAGCTGGCAAGCACTGCGTTGTCGGAACCATTCTGCAACTATCCTACGCATATTACGTCACAGAGCACCACACATCTTCTTTGTAACCAATAGTTTCATGCCCTAAGCAATCATCAGACAACTGAAACTATTACAAGTTGTTACAATGAAGATGCGTGGTGCTCTGTGACTTCAGTACAATGTACAGTACTGTAAGACATGTTATTATAACGAGTCGCAAATTTAACGATTGTCCAAAATTCATAGGTTAACGAGAAGATATTTTAACGATCTTGCAGTATTCTGCCATATCCACACACAGCATATATGAAGCAGTACGGCTTCAACGGATCTTATTATAACGAAGAAATGTCGTCCGTTAAAACGTTAGATTTGCTTCCTCGTTATATATACATGTCTTACAGTATGTGAAGTACAGAATAACTTAGCCCCCGTGCATGTTCTCCCCAGCAATTCAGCAATTAGATGAAGTGCGTACACCGAGGCTTTTGTTATACTCCACTAAATGTTCACATGGCTTTTCATGTGGCCCACTGTTTGACTTTCTCCAGGCAAGCGAGGTGCATAGCTTGGGCACCGACGTGTGTGGTCTCCGTCGGCAAATCGTAAGTTTTGTGAAATGGTGTTGCTCATGCCGGGGCTATTTCTAGTAGGCCAGAAGGGTATTTCTGGTACAGAACTGCAAGCATGGTGGGAAGGGAGTAGGACTGAGGGCAGAGTGATGGTGTGTGTATGGCTTTTGTTGGAATATAATTATGCGTATCTACAGTAGTGCTGAAACGATTACGTTTTGTCCTTAGTGGCTTAGCTGATACCATAACGATCGGCTTATCGGCTAAACGATTATTATTGTAACTACATCAGTACATGTACATTCTGTGAATTTCAAAATTTTACGAGTCCAACAATTACATCGCCAACGACGGAAAGCGGGTGCATAGATCCGATGTTCCCGCAACAAGTCTGTCAGCTGTTCGGACTGACCAGACGAATACAGACCAGACAGAGGCAACTCACTGGTTGCAACCCAAGTGCTAAGCCATAATCCTTGTTTCGCTCTTCTGTGTAGTGTGAAGAGGTCAACGAACATGTAGAGCTCACTTTGATGAAGTAGGCAAGGCTGTGAGCGCTGTGGCTCAAAGCGATAGGCCCTAAATCGTACGAGATATTTCGAGCGCCATTGTTTGTTGCGAGCGCTTCTTCTTCGATGAGTCTTGCCTCTTTCCTGTCAGGTTTCCTCCAACAGGACCAAGCACGAAGTAACTGTACTCATCTGCAGCCGATCAATGTTCTACTGCGCAAGAAGATTGCGTTTTCGCCAAGCCAGTGCCCCGCCAAAGACCATCGCCATGTCACAACGTCGGAACGAGTTCATGATGAGAATCATCATTCGCGCGAGCTTGATGAAGAACTATTTCGAAACACAACATAGTCTCTACCTCCGGGACGACAACTATGCGCCGGTCCTGGAAGGGGAGAATGTCTCCAGCGATAAGAACGAAGACGACGGCGGTATTTCGGCAACGTGGAGTCAGCGGAGTTCGTCAAGCTCTTCCGCCTCCGTGATCCGGTACATGTCGACACGAGCGTGCGGGAACACAGCATACACTGTAGGACTGTTGCGAGAGTTTGCGGAAGGAGTCCAAGTCGGGAAATCCATCAGCTCCAAAAGCTACCTGTAGGTGGGCGATGAGACTCCAGCTTCAGACTACAACAGTCAGGACTTGTAAATAGTTGAACTTTGTGAAGCAGCAGATCGAGAAGTTAGTTGAAATCATAGCTGTTGCAGTATGTCGGCGCTATGTAGCTTGTATTTTTTTTACGGAGAGTCGATCGCCACGCGAATGTTTCTCTCCTCACCGAGAGCTAGCTGGCCTCCAAACTCCGTCAGGGTCTGCCTAAGGTACCGAAGGTCCTTTGACTAGCTGCTGGCAGGACTCCATCAAATCCTTTAGCTTCAGCTCGGCGAGCAAAAGTCTCTCTCTCCTCCAACAATCTTTTCGGGATTGGTAAGAAAAGTAGTCAGCTCAAAAGACGACGACGGTGATCACGTCGATGTTTCTCAGATCGCGCTTGTACTTTACACGTACATCGATGTTGCAAGTGGACAGTCATAATTCGTGTCGTACTCGCAACACTTTCGATGCATGCACGCTTTGTGCGACCCCAAAAGAGGGGAAATCCCGCACCGAGTGTAAGTACATGTATTCTACTCGTTTAGCCGATAAAATCGAAATAACCGTTCGATCTATTTCTTATCGAGTAAGTAACGAGTAATCGATATAATCGTTTCAGCACTAATCTACAGGGTTTTGGACAACTACGGATAACTTGTAAACCTTTGGTCCGATCTACAGGGTGCGCACTATTATCCAGTGCTGCTAAATTTAATTAAACAAAGTGTCACCCGAAAATAGACATGTTTCTCCACACTGACAATTATCTTTGGGGTTTCTGTCTAGAGCAGGAAGGGCTCTTTGTTTGGAACAGTTTTCCGATCGTGAATTGACTACGCCACCGCCACCACCATTGCGCTCTGTGGCCGGCAACACACACTTCCGTCTGCTGCAGAGCCTAACGGTGGTGGTGTAGTCAATTGATGTTCTTCCTGCATGTACTCTGTATGCTTGCCCTGCTTCCTGTGTGTGTACAGGAGTCGATCTTGGCGAAGCAACACAATCCCAGTGACACTGATGCACTCCGTCCAGGTAGCATGTCTGCTCAAGGTTAACGCGTTCCTGGAAATGTACTCCAACGGTCAGAAGCTCAACTTCGACACAAAGACCATTCTCTCCGTACAAGGCAAAAGAAAAATATCAAAGATCGACTCAGATCCCCGCATTCGTTACGGATCATCGTTACATTCTGTCGTCCTGAAAACCGGTCTACCCCTGCCGCCATACGTGATTGGCAGTCTCAACTATCTGTACGCCAACTCGCTGAATGAGCAGGGGTTGTTCCGGAGGGCTGGCTCAGCGAAGCGTGTCCATCAGTTCCAAGCAGACTGTGAAGACAATCCCTGTGAGTGCCGGTAGTGTATGATTTATACTCTCAATGTCATTCAAGCGTGATTCAAGTATGGCAATGAATACTAGTACATTCAAAGAAGCCATGATGACTACCGTAAATTCGTAACGATTAATATTGATGGGACTGATGTTCAAAAATGGTTTCGCCCAATGCTCGTGCACTTGCAAGCCGCCTATATGTACCTACAGATTTCTATTACGATTTGGATTTTTTCTTCAATGGCCGAGAGCTCTGCCGCACCCTGTAGTAATATGATTTGGCGGATATTCATAAATCAATGTCCATTGTTGGTTAGCAAACAGTACATTGAAGCAATGGCACAACAGGCAGTGGAGCATTCACTCACTTTGTTCTCTTTTTGATTCCATTCCTAGATGAACTGACATTCGAAGGCCTCACAGCTCACGATATTGCCGACTCTGTAAAGCACTTCTTCCGCGACCTCCCCGAGCGGATCTTCAACGCACGGATAACGCGCATCGTCACCAATCTCGTCTCTTGTAAGCATTCCCGCTCGGGTCGGTGTTTGTATTGTTTGGGGGTGGTCCTCATCTCTGCTTGCACCTTGTGATTGTCTCTGGCACCTTAGCAAGGCATTGTGAGGCTGCCTTGAAGCCTTGTATGATTCTAATGTTGTACTTCACTGTTCACTTGCTGCTTCTCTTGTTGTGTTTTTTTGCTGCTGCTGCTTTTCTGCTCTTGTTACAGTCATACCGGAGGAGCTCACTCTGCCTGCATTACAAAGTGCGTTACAGCTTTTGCCTGATGCCTGCCGGGAGGCTGCCTATGTCCTATGCACTTTCCTGAAAGTTGTTTCGGAACACTCTGCCACCAATTCGGTGAGTGGCATTCAGCAGCATAGTTGCAGGCATATACATTCATAGCATTTGGTAACTGTAATGGCTCCAGGATGTTAGGTGCGTTGTGAGATGGCGACCGTTTAATTTTCGTTTAGCCGTTGATGCAATGAATGGCGAGTACTCTCGTGCATTATGAGTACCAGATACTCTAGAATCACGAATGTGTGCAGCCTTTTCAAGAATGTTGCCAATCGTCTGTATCCCTTTTGATGGGCCAGTACGAATTGGTTCGTATGTACTCTTTCTTGTCACTGATCTCCCCTTCGTAATACAATACGGCATGCCACTGCGTGCGGTTATGACAGACTTTGAGTAAAACATCGGACTGAAGTCCCAGTTGAGCTATGACCTGCCCTGCAGGCATGCACTGTGACATACATGTACCACACTAAACATGGCAGTCGTATTCAATGCATGGTTTTTGAGCTATTTGACCTTTTCTAGCCAGGTTTGAGATGCGCGAGTCCGAGGTAACCATGCTCAGAGAGCACTCCAGATATTGAGTATCTTTCCCCTATTCCCAACGGGTACATTATATCCGGGCTTCATGGTATCTTATTTTTGCTGCATCCATTCCTGTTGTTTCTCCTCTAGATGACGATACAAAATCTGTGTGTCTGCTGGACACCGACTCTCTTCTCCATTGGTGCACGCTATGACAAGGACTCCTCCTCGACCGTGGGAAGTCCATCTCCGAAGAAAACTAAGCAGGGCTCTCGGCGAGGCTTGACCAAGGAACCCAGTGATTACCATGTACGAGTACATTGTGGATTTGCGTATGGAATCGTTTCCTAGTTACTAAACTGCAGCTTGTCCGTGTGCAACGATATGCATGGTTGATGAGAATGCTGATGCCAGGTCTCAGATGATTTGTGTGCAGATTTTTCAAAATTATCAATATAATCATTACATGTACACATGTACAAACCTAAGTCTCTGCTGTCTTGTGAGAGTGTTCGAAGCCGCAAAATAACAGCTGAACCAAGCCTCTCGTCATTGTCAACTTGTGCCGTGTATGCGTTCCACTACTGCTTGTTCTGCATGTCAGTGCGGGGTCTCATGTTGTTCTGCTACTCTCTATGTGTTGCTGCGACTGTAGGTGACACAACGAGCTCTGGAACTCATGATAACAAACGTGGAAGAAGTCTTTTACGTGAGTGCTGCAACTTACCCTTGAGAATACTCTAGTGGTGCCTTGGACAATTGCCGTCAATAGGATTTGGACTGTACAGTCAGACCTCGGTTATCCGGTCCTCATTTATCCGGATCCCTCGCCATCCGGAAGAAAATCATTGGTTACCGATTTACAGCATATGCCATGCATCATACAGTGCGTGTGTTCGCTTATCCGGTTCCCTCGCCTATCCGGATATTTTTTGTGGAAATGGATGTGTGCGGTTAAGCGAGGTCTTACTGTACTGGCTTTCTTGGATGTGCAGCGGTGCACTAGCAGACAAGCAATGTGCATGCATTGTCCTGTTGGCTAGTCTACCCTGAATTTTTCATGTGTGCTCCTCCATGCTCCCCAGTCCTTGAGGGCTGTGTGTAGTCACTCTGTGTTGCCTTTTGTGAGCATCGCCAATGTGCTTTGCTCGCTTGTGAGCATCTGGAGTTCTAGAAAACGACGCGCATGACTCTGCCAAAATAGGTGCATGGTGTCTCCGTGATCGGAGTTCTGTCTAATCTAGCTACAGTATAATTCAGAGCTGTTTTTTGCACACCCTCTGATCTGAGTCATGAGTCAGTCAAGTGTCAAATCAGGCCCGGGGGGGGGGGGGGGGGGGGGGGAGCGTGAACTCCAATGCGGGGAGCAACCAACTTCCTCTGATCCAGTTATCCTTTTTGGCTTCACTGCTACCTATTACTGAAGTAGAAATTTTACAATTTTCAGTAATACCTAACTGTTTGCTTCTTTTGTGTGTGTGTGTGTGTGTGTGTGTGTGTGCATGTGTGCGCGTGCGTTTTCAGCCACCTGCGGAGTTACTGCTTCCCGACATGAGCAAGCTCGCCAAGCCTTTCGAGACCGAGTGTGCATCCGTGCGTGACATGGGCGTGGACACTAACGGCACGCCCAACTTCATGCACTTCATCAAAGCGTGCGTTGATGCTACGTTAAAGGTCAGCCACTATACTATAAAACCCATGCAAATGCAATGATGATTAATTTTCATTCACATAACTTTGTAGATACCATGATTGTACTATTTGGATACACCACACAGCGCTCCCAGATAGCTTTATCCACCATTCTTGGCTACAACCTAACCCTATGATAATTGATGTGCACTTGGTTCCAGGAACATTTGTCTGGCTATAAGAACTGGACGCCAATGAGCGGGGTACAGGACGTATCCTACAAGAAAGTCAGCGACGATTTCCCGCTGCGTCTGTGGCGGATGAGCACAGATGTTCCGGCCACAGCTGGCAGAGTGGTGTATCGAATTACTAGAGAGAGGTATGTTTCGCCTGGCCCCAGTCTTTCCGTGTGATGTGTCGTACTCAATGAAGCCTGTGTGAAGTGTGCATGTGTGTGTGTGTGTGTGTGTGTGTGTGTGTGTGTGTGTGTGTGTGTGTGTGTCCCATATGGTGCAGTGGTATGTGCCGTCGATTTCCAATCGAGAGGTTGCGGGTTCAATTCCCGACGATTATGGTCGCACACGTCTTTCTTCTCTTTCTCATTCTCCTGGGTGGTTACCAACAGCCAGTGGATGCCGGAGTATGTGGTGTGGTGTGTGTGTGTAAAAAAATGAAGAAAAAAATGAAAAAATAATATAGGAATTCACTGGCCAGAAAAAGCCACTTCAATCAGCTGTGTGGTGGATACCAGGCTAAAATTAGTGGCGGTCAATTCATCAGCCTTGCAAGCTGTTGAATGGTGTAATCCCAGCACAAGTTGCTATGTCTAACATAGCCGTTCGCTATCATTGCTTCTGCCATGGGCAGGTCTGAGGTGAGGTGTGTGTGGGTACGTTCGTGTGTGTGTGTGCGTGTGCGCCACAGTCTTGTTGAACAACTTGGCACCGACTGGTACAACAAGCTTCATGCTGGTATCCACGTGTGTTTGTCTTTCTGTTTGTCTGATTCTCTGGATGGTGCTTTCATCAATCAGGCACCTATGGGATGACGACCTTCTTCAGGAACGCGTAGTGGAGACCATCTCGGACTTTGTGGACACGTACGAGTTCGTGCAGAGGTCCATCTTTGGCACCGGCCGGCGATCCTTCGTTTGCTTACGGTAAGCCAGTCTACACTACTAAGCTGTGTAGCGTTGGTTGCTATTTGTGTCCTGCAGTCCATTTCCAAAGCAATAAGCACTCCTGGTGGTCAGGTGTCGAGTTTCTGACTTTACCATAATATGTGCTGTCTGCAAAACTCGCTCGCCGAGACACTCCGAAGTGCAAATAATGTTTGAATATGCTCACGTCCGCTTTAACTTACAAGCGTCTTTCTACGTGCCGTTGGAATCACACGGGACAGCACAGTAACTGCTGAAGCGCAGCATGGTGCCCATTTCGCTGCTTCGTGAGTCATGACTGAATGTAAGTGTGTCTGCGCTGAGCTGCGAGACAATTTTTCTCGACAGCTTCATTCTGAAGGCCATGGCTTGGTAACAGCGTCTGAGTTACTCCTACGGCTTGAAAAAGCAGGTGCCTGGGAAGTTGTCTCGATAAGAATGATGTCGACTCTAAAATCGAATACATCATCGATGTGTGTACTCAGCATAATTATGGTCACATGTCCTCACTGATTTCATCCAAGTTCAGAACGGTGATTCTGTTGACGTCACTGGATAATAGTGGATGCCGTTGTCACGCACTGTGATTCTCTCTTAAAATGTATTTCAACATGTAGATTGTCCAGGAACGACACGACACACTAACTGGATTCCGAACTCGATGCAGATCCTCACACTTTGGTTTGCCTGCTTTTAGTGTGGATTCCACTTCAAACCGTAGAATCCCGCGGATAAGCCCATGGGCTTATCTGTTTCACAAGGACATTTCGGTGGGCTTATACGAGAACATGGGCTTATACGCGGGCATGGGCTATACGCCGACACCAAATTATGCTATTGAAAAGTATCAAGGAAGTGAGAAGTACATTGCTGAAAACCACTGTGCAAACAAAAACAACCGATGATTGTGCTGAAATGTACGAAAAAAACTATAATGTACATGTACTACGTACATGGTATGGCCAAGAGTCCATAATTTATGGACTCTCGGTAAGAGCTAGGCCCATGGGCTTGTACGATGAAGCTTTGTGTTGTTCGAACAAACCCTGGGCTTATGCGCGGGATTCTACGGTACTGTTCATACAGGGAAACTTCAGTACTTTGGAGTCTGCATCAAGTTCAAGAAACCCAGTTCATCATTTACATTACTTTTGGCTTGAAGGCACAATGAAATTATAATAGTTAACGCACGCTCCACATACAGGCATGCACCCGGCTCAGAACACATTGTTTTCTGGTTGGCATATCAGGGATATTGGGCGGAGCAGCTGGCGTGCATGAGAAAGACAGGTCGGCCTGCTCTGCGCAGGAGCTGTGACCCGGTGCACACATAGTGTGTGTGTGAGAGAGAGAGAGAGACAGACAGGTCGGCCTGCTCTGCGCAAGAGCTGTGACCTGGAGCACACAGAGTGTGAACGAGAGACGATCGGCCTGCCGTGGGCAGGAGCTGCGACCGGTAGTGATTGAAATGAGCCAGCTGCGGAGATAGACTGCCCTCACCCGATATAAGTATATTGACAAGAGGTGTACTGACACTGTGATTGAGGAAATTATGGTGACAGTGACGGAGAGATAGTGATCCCCAGTCAAATGGGGTTGGGAGGGAAGGGGAAATTGACAACTGACGGACAAACCAGTGAACAGTCAAGTCGTCGGAAAGCAGAAGTGACAAAGGAGTCTCTCTTTTCTCTCTTTCTCTCTCTCTAAAGCAAGATTTGGAAAGCGCGCATGGGAGAGTGGCGCGCGCTGCGCATGCGCATGTATAGCAATGACATCATAATCAGATGCATGATCATCAGACTAAGTATGAGTGGTAGATGTTCCACGTTCGTTAACAGGGCTTAGCGCACACGCTAAACCACCATTAAAGGGGAAGTTAAGGCAAAAATTAAAATTTCACCAGTTGTAGTCTTCGAGGTGCTGAGTCGAATGGTCTTGGTCCGAGAAAGCTGAGACGCTCCCTTCCTACTTGAATCCCAATCGAACTCGCGCACTTCCACCGAAACTGGGTGACTGCGCCCTACTAGATGGGGATTTGTATGCAAAATGTCACTAAAAGCGCCATTTCGTTCTTATAAAAGCACGGATGACCGCGATTGGCCCATATGTTGTAGTCTTTTGGACGCTGAGTCGACTGGTTTTGGTCCGAAAAAGCTGCGATGCAGCGTTCCTCCTTTATTCCCAATCGAACATGGTTGAAGAAGCGGTCACGTGCTCCTGGTTGCCCAAATCACCTGGTCACCACGCCAGCAGGCGACAACTTTCACACCAAGGTTCAACTTCGAGTTCAACTCGAGTGACAGGACTGCACCCAAAAAAGGTCAAACAGGCTAGTAAGTTGTACCCTGCAGGCACGGTGACCAGCTGACTGGTGTACGCAGGAGCACGTGACCGCTTGTTCAACCATGTTCGATTGGGAATAAAGGAGGAACGCTGCATCGCAGCCTTTTCGGACCAAAACCAGTCGACTCAGCGTCCAAAAGACTACAACATATGGGCCAATCGCGGTCATCCGTGCTTTTATAAGAACGAAATGGCGCTTTTAGTGACATTTTGCATACAAATCCCCATCTAGTAGGGCGCAGTCACCCAGTTTCGGTGGAAGTGCACGAGTTCGATTGGGATTCAAGTAGGAAGGGAGCGTCTCAGCTTTCTCGGACCAAGACCATTCGACTCAGCACCCCGAAGACTACAACTGGTGAAATTTTAATTTTTGCCTTAACTTCCCCTTTAACACTGATGTCACACTCATGCAGTGCAATGTTTCAGTCATGGATAGTAGCTTCAGTAGATATCCTTAGCTAAAAAGACGCTAACGTAAACGCAAACCTTTCCGTACTTCGGATCGTTCAAGCTGAACTTTTCCCTTAGCACAATGTACGTTATAGTTGAGACGAAGTAGTCGTGACAACCATGGCGATATGAATTTTCGTGAAAACAGGTGCGGGAAATTCAAAATTTTGAACCAGAGATTAGTTTGCTGTCGTTCCGAAAGAATACCTTGGCGAGGTCTTTTACTCTGGAATAGCAAAAGCACAGCGAAAATGAGTTTTCGCTGTTCCCAGGTCCTTGGAAATCCTTTCCTAAACCCAGCACCGAAGACTGTAAGGGTTCTCCAGCTCCAGCACGTCTTGGAGAGGCCGATGAATTTCTTCCTCAGGAGTGCCGTGGAACTGGTCCTTTGTTTCCCAGACGGGATAGATGGTGAAAGGCACGAAGCAGAGGATGCAGACATTGTCAACTGAAAGGCAAAACTCGCCAAAAAAGCTAAATGTCAGAAGAGGAAGTAATCTCGACTCTCATCTCGATCTGCACGTGCTTTTTATCTCCCGCCAGTTACAAAACAATGCGAGTTTTTGCATTTTTTGCAGAATTACCATAACGAATGTCGGCCCGTTATTTTGAGCTCTGTAACGTTTTTCCGTTACTCGATAACGTCTTTTTTGCATGGTTTCGGCTGGGAGTGAGTACCGTAAAAGTTAGCGTTATCGTACTTTTGCTAATGATGTCTCAAGACTGATATAAGCGATGGGTTCCGCTGTCCCCAAACTCCTGTGTAAAGTTGCACACACTTGTGTACTGTATACAGGGAAACCTTTGCGGTCTGGAACCGTTCGCCATTTTTGCGAGACAGGTGTGAGATCCCAAAAGTAAGCCGCCGCGAAACGTACAACTGTAGTCATGAAACTGACTGATTAAACTGACCCCAATCGCACACAATTCTAGGTGCAAATTGGTCTCTGCACACAAATCACAAACTCAAACCGGCGCAAACGTTTCCCTGTTTACAGTGTTCTTGTCAACATTCACAGCCCACCCTCCTTTTAGTGGCAAGTGTCCTTGGGGCTTTCTTTTTAGGCACCTGCTGTGCTGTAATCTTTACCAGCCTGGTGTCCTCTTTCTGTTCTATTTCTCCCTTTCTTGTTTTCGTCCATGTAGATCGCAACATGCAATGGATGGTGTTCACTTGATTACTATGAACAGCGTCCAGCAACCTGGTGTACTGAGTCGACGAGACGGTGTCGTACCCGCTCTTGATCTTGCCACTCGATTTATCATCGAACCGTTTGGCAGCACTTGCCGGCTCACAGTTATCACGCGACAGGATATCCGGTGAGGCCTGGTTGCCCTTCCTCTTACCTTGATTTTGTTTTATTTGCCTGATCTTCCAAAGGCGAATACCGGTGGATTCCCATCAAGGGAATCTCATGAGTTACATAGTGCATATTCCGCATCTCTCTGGAGAGATGTAATTCTCGAGTTGCAGCATCAGACCGTGGTGGTGGTGGTGGTTACGTTGTATAAGCGATGAAAGACGGATCCTAGTAACATAGAAAAAGTTGCTGTGTGTGCCATGATGGCTTAGTTACACACTCTGGATCATGTACTCTTGGCTATAACTTCTTACTACATATTCTATTTTGGATATGTAGTGTCGCCTCACCGGCCTTTAAAATCGTAACGGGTATATGACTATATGTAGTGTGCTGATGTTGATGATCGATCAACTAACTTATGCATATTCACTACTGATGTGTGAAACCGTGAACTTTCAGCTGTACGAGCAGAAACGCTTCCAAAGTCAGTTGAAACGGTTTTGGTTAAACTCAGGATATATTTCAATTGTGACATGGCCTCAGTGAAAGCGAAGAACGTCACCGCACGTGACTTGGTGTATGTACCAATGACTGGTCACTCCATGCGTCCGACGAACCGGGGAAAAAATTAGACTTGCCGACCTTTTTTTATCTCCCTGTTCTACTGCACTTTTACCTATGGAACCCATTTTTTCTTTCCAATACTAGTGTTCGCTTGAGATAATAAATACCCACTGTTCGAAGTCTGAAGAGAGTGTTGAACGGTCGCTACTAGGATGACAGCTACAGGAACACCATAGTTCAGTGGTTAGAGCATCGCTGGCCTCAAGTGAAGGTCCCTGGTTCGGGTCCTGGTGGTGACAGTCGATTTTTTTCTTCAGACTTTTCCCTTTTCCATTTCCTCAACTAGTGAATACTGTGAACATGTTTAAATTTCAACCTCATCAACAACATCATTTCAGCTTGCATGGTTTCTGCCTGATTCACTGGCATACTGTATTGTGCACGCTAAAACTGCAGCCAGTGCCAACCTAAAGCGGGGTTCACAGAAGCATTTTTGCGATGCGCGGTGCGACGGCCGCGAAACCGGGACATCCCCAAATCGCATCCATCAACTATGTTAACATGCGGCGAATATTTATTGAGTTACTGTATGTTGTGGGCAAATCTCGACGTACTGGAGATGCAGATCCGATATATTTCCATAGTGCCATGGTTCCTGTTCTGTCATGCAATCCTCATAATTATTGCATGTGGTCTGATGTGAACAAACTATGTCTGGTGCCGATCTCTACATACGGTTTACCGGTACCTTATTGCACTGCCCCTGATAGAACACTGTTGTCCATCTCTGCTTTGTGTTGTTGGCATCACATCTATTCCAAGTGGATTGTTCCTTATCGATGGGTGGTGCTTTGCAACTGAAGAGTACAGTAAAACCTGTGTTTGCCGAACCCTGTACCATGCGCAATCCTGTACTGACTGGACAAAATGTCATGCAACACAGTGCTGTGGATCACAAATGTGCATCCCTGGATCAAGCGGAATCCTATCATATCAGAACAGTTTCTGCTGCACCAAGGGCATTCCGGTTGGGGCAGGTTTCAGTGTACTTGAAGTATAATCACCTCCATCCCTAGCTAGGCCCTTGGGTATGATTTCTTCTTTTGACATGTTGACTGGAATGTTCTTTTCATTTTCTGGCTGTCTCTCTGTCTCTCTTCCTCCTTTGTTTTCTTCTCAGGGGCTACTCCCAGCAGCTATACAAGCTTGGGCTTGGTGCCTTCCTAGCGTCCTGTGCTTACCGAATCCGTGACTCCTTCCAGTTGCAGCCCTGAGCAGCAGTCTTGCGGATAGGCCTTCACCTAAACCCAACTTCAAGTCCTTGCTTATGTGTGTTTGTCTATTTTCGCTATCTGTGGAGTGAGCAGCAGCAGCAAGGATTTTGACTGCTCGAAGACGCACTGGACATGAGTGTGTACCACCGACTTTTGCTGTCATCTACGATGCACTTTAGGGCACGCTATTGACGGTTCGCGAGTACTGTTTTAGTACGTATACTGCTGGTGCCGATGCGGATGTGTATATTATGGTGTACTCAACACTCCTCGTTACCTTGTGCCACCTCGGTATATTCTATACTGTGAGTGTGGCACTGGGTTGTACTCGCGTCTAGGGAAGGGACGGTCTGATCTCTGCATGCCGTTGAAGCATTGAAATATTTAGCCTTTAGTGGCAATGCTGTATCGCCCCAAAATGACAGGGACTCCTGAACTTATCCGTGCTGTCGTTTGCTTCTTTTTTGCTTTTTTTGCTGGCACGAGGTATTTATTGGTTTTGCACGAGCCGTCTTCTTTCAGTTAACCCCTGCCACAAGTCACTGTCCCACCGCTACAAAGAATGGCAGCGGTCCCATTGGCTTGCGACTCCTCGCCCATCTAAAGTCTCTTCTTCTTTTTTTCTTTCCGTCTTCTCTTTCTTCTTCATGTCTGTGTTGATCTAGCATCCTTCTTTTAACAAATTGCATATTGTTACAAATACTATTTATCACGCCAGTGCTGTTTCATAAATCATTATATTATGAGCAGAATGAAATGAGGAGGATATGGTAGTATAGCCAATGTGTGTTACGAGATCAACGCTGAATTTGTCTCCTTGTTATTGTCATTTCATTTACTCTTTTCAACATTGTTTTTTCTGGAAGCCGGCTTTCTCATTGGGAATATTATTCACACCTTATCTGCTTCTTGCTATGCCGCTCATTCAACGTGTGCACCTTGACTTGAGTATCCGTGAGTGGTGACTTTAGAAGATCAAGCCTAGGAGTGTGGTGGTGGCAATCAGCAGGGCAACTAGTGAGGCTGCTGCCGTTGGCAATGTGGCTGCCGACGTCGACGATGGGCAGTCGGGCCTGGTGTAAGGTCCCAGCATCTGGCATTGCGCAAGCAAGTCGATGGCCCTGTTAGCTTGAGCGCCATCTACAACACCACGGATGTAGCCGAGTTCGGTTGTGTTGTAGGCGTCGACGTAGTTCTGCTGGATCGAAGCCTGGATAGGACCGTTGTCGTTCAGGATCTGCTGAAGCCTGTTGCGAATGTCTGCAAGGTCAATGTTGCCTCCGTTGAGAGCCGACACGTTAAATCTCAGCTGGAAGGTCCGGGCTGTCATTGGGACGATGTTGGCGCATGCAACGCGTGGCCCACCGCCGTTCGGTGCGTGGATGACGAATGACCGTCCGATCACTGAACAGGTATGGACACCGAGTGGAGAACACACATGAAATGACAAGAATCAATTTTTGTTCAAGAGGAATGTTACTAACAGTTATGACGATTGCCCTGCTTCATATACCAACACAAACCCACGAAACGATGTAACCTTTTCAAAATGACAAAGTCTGTGTGCTTGACTAGCTTAATCAGACACACACGTGCACACACACACACACACACACACACACACACACACGTGCGCATACCTCGATAGTTTCCGTCCAGGGGCAGATTGACGTCGTGCCTGACGAAGCCGGAGCCGTCCAAGTTGAACTGTCCCGTTTTCCTGGACGTGTCTCCCACCTCGCAGCGGTGCGGGTACATTTGTCCACACTCGGCACTGTACAGTGTGCTGTTCCTGGCTACGCCGTGCGGATCATAGTGACCGGCGGTAAACTGGCCACCGCATGCGCTTGCGTCGTTCTGCCAGCCGATGCGGTTGACGTGGACGTGCATATTGTGTTGCATGCTCTGCAGCCAACAAAAGCAGGCCAATGTGGAAAGGCAGCTGGCATCAAATATCGATCACGCATCTATTACCGGTGCCGTAAGATCTTATGAGTGAGTGGTGTTAAGAAGACGTAATCTCCTGAGAGTTACTCAATCGCAATGAGATCTAGTGAACAGCTGAGCATTTTTTAACCAGCTCCAAGCTTCAAAGTCAGCGAGAAACCACCGAAACAACTTTGACCCTACCCAGAAAGAGTGCCCAACCCAGCAAAGGCAAGGGAGCATCTTCCGGGGCTTATGTATTCCTGGCAACATGCACACAAAGACAGTGAATCATTGCGGGTTCTCTGTCTCTCCTCTTGTATCTCCCTAGCTGCCCCCCCCCTCCCTCTTCTCTCTCTCTCTCTCCCTCACACATGCTCTTGTTTTCTCCCTCTCACGCGTAGTCAAGCTAGAATGTACTCCAAATACTGTACCGATTGTGTGCATGCATACGTATCGATGGATTTAACGATTCCCCACAGGCCTTTGCCTAAACCGACCTGTAACATTGTATGGAAGCAGAACCGTGGCAAAGAATCATGTCACAATGGCTGGTAAGTACTAAGCGGTTACTGGGCGCTGCTCACCTGCGCGGCGTTCGTCAGTCCCGAGCTGGTAATGAGAGTCTCGCCACGCGAGCCGTCCTCCCTTGCTACCTGGGCGAGATAGATGGTACCGGTCACGGCACCGCTGAAGTCGGCCCGGGCACGCAGCACACGGTCCCCGCTGGCAAGCTGCTCCTCCAGGTTCATGCTGCTCTGCTGGCTGTTATACGTGATAGTGGCTGAGCTGCAGTGACCAGTAATAGTAACAGTAGCAGTGGTCACCGGGTATACAAGCTATGCAGGGTGTGATGGCTACTGCACTGAGCTCAAGTTTAGCGCGAGCTACGCCAGGCAATAATGCAACTGCAATAATGCACGCACTGGCTATGGATTGCCAGTGCGCACAAAATTATCCCTGGTTGCCAACTTGCCATCATGTATACATCCAGCTATGCACTTTGTCAACATTTTAAACTCACAGCAAGAGAAAACTGAAGCGAAGAGGGCAGTCTCTGGGTCTGTAAATGTTAACCAGGAACGGTGGTGGATTCCTTTTAAAACAGCATGCATGCTCCGGTCCTTGAGGCGTTTGCATTATGTTATGTTACACATAGTATAGCTTGTTTTGTTGTTGAAGTAATTGTGCACGATTTGCTGTAATACAACGGCCACTAAACCTCATGGACAATCACACCCACATGACACCCACATCACACCCACATGACATGGTTTACCAATCAAAGACCTAAAGAGTGTGTACACGTATTGTGTTTCCTTGGGCTACTTATTAATTTTACGGAGAGAACTTTGGTGCTGCTTCACACTCCCGTTACTTTCAAAGAGCGCCGTTCCCCTGGGGGGGGGGGGGGGGGGGGGGGTTGACCACTTGTACTACATGTACACCTCTTGCCGGGAAGCCATTTGTGCTGTTAGTGTGCCCGGTACATGTATATGCGTAATGGTGGTTTGCATCACTGGTACATGTACATAGTTTAATATATACCCCAGTCTTAAAACTACTTCAAAACTGCTTCAAAAAGCTGTGTGGTGTACACCAGGTTAAAAAAAGTGGTGGTCAATCCTTCAGCCTTGCAAGCTGTTAGATCACGGGCTCAATACCAACATGAGTTGCTTGTGCTGTAGCATTGCTATCACCGCCTCCGGTGATGGGCGTCTAAGTCTAAGGGCTATATAAGCGGCATGTGCATTGTAGACTCACCGTCCAGCCAAGCTGTTCAGTCCTCTCAGTGTGCTGTATCTGTCACACACCTGCCCTTGTGTAGCATTGCCGAGCTTGTCACCGATCCGTCCCACCTGCAGGAAAGGGGCATAATGCGACACACACACGTGTTGTTGTTGTTGTTGTTGTTGTTGTTGTTGTTGTTGTTGTTGTTGTTGTTGTTGTTGTTGTTGTTGTTGTTGTTGTTGTTGTTGTTGTTGTTGTTGTTGTTGAAGCATAGAGCTTGAGCGATCGATGGTCGAATCCTGCACAGTCCAGTATATACGCACTGGATAAGCTTGAGTGCAAACAGATCTGCACCAGCTACGGCATTCAGTGTGTATTGGCTATAGAATGTGGCAACCAAACGACATGAATTGTTCTACTGTATTGTATTGTATTGTATTGTATTGTTCTATGGACTTAGACATACACTGCACTAGTGGCAGCAAGTTCCAGTTCAGTCTGGGACAATTATTTCACCGCCAAAGGTAATATGCAAATCTAGACGTTTCCTGTAAGGTAGCATGTCATTGAGATATGGTGCCAGCAGGCAAGAAAGTGAAAAGTACTTGGCAACCATAGTAACACTACATTGGCATCCTCCGGAGCTCTACTCACTAACAAGCAATACGTCGGAGTAAAGACAAAAGTACAAGTACAATGATTATGTAGCTGACTCCAGTTACAAGATTGTGATGGCGCTATGCCGTGTATAGAACACTATTAAAGCTGGGAACTTTTGCAATCTTTACAGAATGTACCATTGTAATTATGGCTACAGGGCATGGAAGTCACCGTGACTTCGTTAATTAAAAGTCACGTGTTTTCTCATCCTTGTCTCCAGAATCAAGTGCAGAACTCAAGTTTCCAGACTACACTGTATTGTTTTCAAGTCACACATGCTGGATACAAGCAGCTGCACCTGGAAAGCAGCCCGGCACTTAGGAACGGTATACATGTACTGGTCAATCATCATCATCATCATTCTAGTGTTGGGTTGATGCACAATACTACATTATGTAGTACTTCAGAAGTAGCAAGAGTACATAACCCCCCTGGCGACTGGCATGAGAGCCGCTTGTCATGGCTTCAACAATATCATAGTAAAATAATTCGTGACTGTCCAGTTTTACTGGCAAGTGCAGTGTAGCACAATACTCGCTTTCTGCACCACAAAGTTCGTTAGGCCTAGAGTCCCAGCAAGCAGTCATGCAGTATTGTAGCATGACTTGTAGTACTCTTTGGAGTGTCCATCCCGGTAGCTATATTGGTACATGCATGTAAGTATGTACGTACATGTAGACAGTATCCCTGCATACATACATATACATGTACAATTTGTACATGTATATTGCCATTATTGGTGGATAGTTGACCAACTCACCACATTGGTCTGGCTCATGAAAGGGTTGAACACTTGGCCAGCGCTGGAACCTTGCCCGCTCTGGTGCATGCAGGACAGACACAAGAGTCAGAAATTACCGGGATAAGACAAGAGGAGATAATTGCTCGTAAGCCTATCCAAGTGAGGCATACTGCTAGCAGAGCTAACATCCTTCATGCCGACGGTCCCTCGCAGCCAATTAATTTGAAACCTCAGAGCCAGAACTTGTCTCCAGCATCACGTAAGCCATCTTGACAACCACATTGCGTTACTGTATGATGAAGAGGTCGAGGACCTTCTGCGCTGCGTGGCACGTTTTTCACCTTGGAACGAGCTCCGGACAAGACAGTCAGTGAGTCACCACAGCCATGATATCCCATACTGCCTACTGGGGCCATAGTCACATGCTGCTGCATGCAGGGAGTCGTAAAAGTATTTTTTACTGCTCAGTAGAATCTACACTCACTACATACACCTTGGCCATGGCATGGTCCCATGATTATGGTAATGATAATTATGTGAGAAAGGGATTTCATCCAGCCAGCAGCTAGCTAGCTGGCGCTATGGCATCATGCGCTCCGCACGTGGAGCATATTTAACTCAACCACCGAAACTAAGGCGAAAGGCCAAACCAATAATAGCAAGAGTATGGGGCTTATCCTCTTGATAATAGTAATAAGCTGCTATCGGTACATGGTAGCTATGTAGGCTGCACTGCACTGCAAGCATTTCGTACTGGTCGGCATCTGGTAAGGTCAAAGCCCTGAGGTCAGTAAGGGTCGTTTCCTGGCTGTTGCCTTTGTTTTCTCCAGATCTCTTCACCTGTCACTCACTAATTATTCTAACCAGGCTTAGAAATTCGTGCTGATCAGTGCATGATCGTGTCGACCATGTACATGCACTAGTACATGACACTTGATACTCCCTTTCTACATTTTGTTCCAGAAACAATTAGATACGGTTAAGTGGGCATGAGATGGGAGACTCGAGACTCGGAGGCACCAGGAGGCTATCTGAATCTAACGCTATCAGTACATGTATTCCCAAACCAGTATAGTATGACATACATGTACTTTACACATCGTGGACGTGCCGCGTCTCAGTCTGATGAGTGTTCGAGCAGGGAACTCGGATCCGAGGAACAGACAGTTTGGCCACCATTGTTTTCCTGTGTGCAATGACTATGCGTGTGGAGTCGTTATGACACTGGTATTTTAGTATTTACGGGATAGTGATGCTAAAAATGTACTATACGCAGACAGAAGGACGAGCAGTTGCTGTTTCGTACCTGAGTTTCACGAATTGAATCGATCATCAGACGAATGCACCCCGTAACACCGGCCGGTAGACCAGTGCAGTACTGGCTAACTAGCCAGGGCGCAAATAGTGGCTTCGCAGAGCTCGCTCATCTAACGAGCAATGGCTGCAATGAGCAATGCGCCAGTTTGTCTTTAACGATTTCCAGCTGAGGAGTGGATAGGGAGTTCCTACACAACTCCCTACCCGACTCCCCGGACCCCTGGCTATTTCCATCTCTGCCCGGCCTTGCCGACAGCTTTCCTGGTTGTCATGATCGCCAGAACAGCTTCTGCACTCCCAGAATAGAGCGCTTGCCAAGAGTACAATCAATTATCACGCGGACTCTTGGCGTTGCCTGCTAGGGTGGAGTAACAATGAGAGAATCATTGTTCAAACTCAGCTGGAAACAAAGGGCCTGTCATATAAACGATAGGCATAGTTCCGTCATGTGTAGACCGTCTCCAGGGTCTCCGGGTGCATTTCAGTTTTTGTTTTCATGCACAGTTACATCCTGCGGAAGCAGTTACCACTAGGCGGTATAAACCTGAAGCGTTCAGACACACAGCTTGTTGTTTTTCCCCGGCGTAAACATTGCCTGCTGACTTCGATGAGTCGCTGGTGCTGATGTGCGTAGTTGTTATTGACACCTGTGCAAACAAGATGCAGTTTGGTGGTAAGGTCGCCAAGGTCGCCAAGGTCGCCAAGGCTCTGGTCAAATGACGAATCATGTTTTCTGTTTTTGCGGTTGTTGGGAAGGCAAATCCTAACCTGGTTCGTTCGGCGTGGTTAGAATGGCAAAGGACGTAACTAATCAATGGCTAGGACAACGTGCTCAGTGCTCAAACGCAGTACGTTCTGGTGATCTGACAAGAAAAGCCAGCACTGTGCAGTCGTGTCGCAGGGATATCATGTCAGCAGGGATCCTATCCTTGTAGTTTCTCTCCTGTATTTGCACTAGATGTATTGCCATTCTGAGTTCTCGCCTTCGACAACAACTAACTTTAAGTAGTTGACTGACAAGTGAGTGAAGTACATGTACATGATAGTATAGTGTATATCTGTACTGCTGTCAGGCACGCTAAGATTGCATAGTCAAACACAACCTTTGCGCAATGTAGTCAGTGCTCAGTGGGTGACTGATTCTGTGTGAAACCCAGAGTTTCTCGTACAGCAATACAGCTTCTCTAGTAATATTTGCCCTTCTCTCCAAGGCTCTACACGCAAGTGTATGGAGCACTCTTTCAAGCTACCACAACTCATTCCAAGTGTACTACCAGTGTACTACCAGTGGGGCTATGGACTCAGCTTGGTTACAGTCATCATTTTCTTTGCGCTCAGTTCACTCACCCAGGGAGTTGTTGAGCACATCGGCTACGTCCGTTTTTCCAACAGTACCCGAGACTGAGCACGTACCCCTTGAAGCAAACAATCACTGGTCGGCTCAGTGTAAAAACAGACTCCCCGCTACGTGAAGTATGCGTACCTCCTAATTGCTGAAAAGTGATTGATTTGTTAAAAGCTGCCCGTTCCGCAGTCGAGGCAGCGTGGTGTGTTGTGGGGTTGACCACATCCGCTCTCAATTCATCTCTATCTGCTCATTGAATGAATAACGCACAATTCCCGACCCCAGACGATTTGTTTGTCTAAATGTCCACTGGAACTGTCGGTAGCTCTCATGACTACCGCTACCGCTGCTGTACCGTCTCTACAAGAGCCCACTCAGGAACTGGTTAAATATCTCGTCCGATGAACGGTCTAACCTGATTACACGAACCCGGGTAGTGGTACATCGTACATCGTACAGGCAACACTCTGGGCATAGTTCTGTACAGAAGGCTAGAGTAGCTTCTTCTTTTTTTTAAACGTGTTACTTGATGCCAACATTCCTCCTATTGGAAACTCCAAAAAGCATGTCAAACTCACCCAGGGAATTACTATTAGACCGGCTGGACGATCAGAGCCATAGTCATAGAGGACATTATCATGCAATTCATGCGTGGACATGCTGAATTATTATTTTGGACACAACTCGTGTTAACTGGGTGCAACTCACCTGAACCGGCAGAGTGTTGATTGTCGAGCCGACGCTGCTGACAGTATTCGACATCAAGTTGATTCTGAGCGATGAAGCAGTGAACGGACTACCTTGGCTGATCGCCACGTATCCGGAAGTATCGCCAGTGAAGGTCGCCCTGATGCTGCGGTGAGGAACACGGTGAACACGCGCGCAGGCCAACAGGCTGCTGTCGGCATTGTAGACAGCCAAGCTCCTCTCTGTCGTACCCGTGGGTAGCTGACTGTCCAGACATAGGCTAGTGACGTGTCTGCCGGCGTAGCCGCTGGGCCCAGCAGAAATGGGAACTTGTCCGTCGGCTGTGACGGACAGGTTAGCCACAAAGCTACCCAGGGATGTGCACAGGCCGGAGCGAATAGCCCACTGATGACCAGTGCTAGCTGCTCTACCCTGGGTACTGTACAGGTGACTATATACCGTGGTAAGAAACGTTCCTTGCGTCGTGGCGCGACTCGCCTGACGCAGAAACACCCTGCCGCTGATGTCGCCGTTGAAGGCAGCGACGTGCGTCACCTCGTAGTTGTGCTGGTCAGGCTCCGGGCACACACTGCCGCTGGTTGCGTAGACATGCTGAATGGTTGCACAGCTCGTGGCCGTTCCGTCACTGGTGGACTGGATGACTAGCGTGCGTCCGATGATACCGTACGGGTTGATCATGTTGAGTCCCGTGGTGACGCTCAACACCTGATTAGCCAACGCTGGGAGTGTAGAGAGACCGCCCAGCTCCATACCAGCTTGCGCACTGGTCGGGTTGTAGACAGCACCAATACCCTGGCAGGACGACTCGGACGTGCCGACGAACGCGGACAGTTCGTGTATGGCCAGGCTGAACTGTCCCGTGGCCAGCTGCAGTCCGCTGGCGTTGAAACTGAGCTCACCAGCGTCTTTGCTGATGATCACACGTCCACGGAAGCCGTTGTCGTTGAAATACGCCACAGCGCGTTCATCCTGGCACGTCTGAGCCAGGGTAGATGGGAGAGAGCAGTATGCAAGCAGCGTCACTGCCAATACACACAGCCCAACCATTCTCATTGCTATATTAATTGGGAGAAAGAGAGGTCCAATAAAGCAATTCCACTTCCAAAAGAGAGGTCCTAATGGTGAACTCACAGTACTAGTATAATGCCTTCTAACCGTTAGGGTTTCTAAGGTGACCTCGAGCTCAGCAGGAGTGGAATTGTACAATTTCTTTCCTCCGACTCGCTTTTTATACTACCGGTATCTTGCTGCGTGTATGCTAACACACACACACACACACACACACACACACACACATACACGCACGCACACCGAGCGTGCGTGTCCTGTTAGCGCTAGGGACTGAGCACCGACCGCCGTTCCCTGCAAACCTACTAGCGACGTTGTGAGTACGCACGATATTGCATGGCATCGGGTACAAGTGGGGCAGCGACTCGGCCGAGGTGATGATTCACGATATTATGCTCATTCTATTTGCCCATAACAATAAACTTACTTGGACAAGAACCGCAGTCGTAAAGGAGCACTGACACAGTGGATGAGCTGCGTGACTCCGCCCCGCGCTGGCTTCCGAGTTGAAAGTGCTTCCTGATGTGCAATCCCCCACTGTTTGAAGGCATGGTCATGCTATACATGTGCACGTGTGCATGTTTGGGTGAGGCTGAGATAATAGATACATGTAATACTTATCTTTAGTTCAAGATGTATTATCTTTAGTTCAAGATGTATTATCTTTAGTTCAGGATGAGTCGTGAGCCGATCATTGGCGCAGCCAGTACAAGTAGCGTCTCCTGCCTTTCCGTCCGTGCACGTGACTTGTCCGGACTCTGGAACACAACACGTTACTACAGTTATAACTCAAGTAATGCAAGTCATTATTTGTCACATCCATGTAAGACTCACGTCGGCCACATCTCATTGGTTGATACAGTGCCATGACCATGATAACGTACGTGTAAGTGGCATAATGCACTGAACATCATAGACTCGTAGTGCAGTTGTAAGTCAGGTAGTGAGTTGGGCGCTGTACAGATCCAGTTGTCCTTTCCACGGCGCGGCGGCGATCGCTACGGCTGGTAGCGCAGCCAAACCGCAATCCTTGCCGGGACCAAACATCCGGATTTGCTAGTACATGTAGCGGCCAGTTATTGTCGTCTGGTACCGGTACGATCAGTTGGCAACCAAACCCGTAGTACACTTGGAGGCAGAATGACTCACTAAACTTACTTCGACTCGAGCCTGGTTGCACAAATCTATCCCGATGTTAGAAAGGACTTCTAAGTTCTAACATCGAGGGGAGTACATGTATGGTTCCCACCAGGGAGTTTTAAAGTCGCATTTACGACACCCTGCCCCTGCCCTGGTTCACATAGTGCGTGGCTTACTTTAAACGTATTGCAATCATGTACTAGTCATGTACATGTCCGTAACATCAGTAACACGCTAGCTAGCATACTCTTTCTCTCAGGTCACAATGCCAAGGGGGGGGGGGAAGGCCGGGGAAATGTTCACATACGCGACTGTAAGTACGTGTACATGTATAATGTGTAGTTGAGAGGTATTTCAATAGGTCAGTCTGCTACTAGTACTATGTATTGTTTTCCTTCACGCGTGACCCACGCCGCATTCCTCATGGAGATATTGTTTAAAGAGCAAGGACGCGTAGTCTACATTGTTCTGGTACATGTGAAAGAAAGCAATACTCCTGCACCGATCAGCTCTGGCTCTCATTGCACTGTTCTGTTTGTGATGCGAGACACTCGTACTCGGAATACGAGTACGTGAAGTGCCCTCCTAGTCCTTCCCAGGAAGACCTAACACGTGATGTATAAGTATTGCTTCATGCAGGATAAGTACTTCCTGGGCTTGGCAATGCCGTGCAAAGCGAATAATTATGAATATGAACGTAATGCCGGACCGGTTTCCGAACTTTCGGCCACTCTGGCCTAGCAAAATAATTTGTAATGCGGATGCGTTGGATCGACACTGTCCGCCGGAAAAGATCTCAAGAGTGTCGAACGTACCATCAGCAACGCCCAGACCCAAGCTCATGAGCGAAACTGTCAACAGATCATGCTTTTTAATGCGTTCGCTCAGAAAGTGGTGGACATCACGCAACTACATTGTAAATACATGTAGTATTAGGTAAATGCGGATGCAGGACTGCGAGATGCTGCCAGTGGAGTCGAGGACTCGAGACAAAGGTAACGAACGCATGGCACGTGATGTAATCCCTTTGTTGGTCTGCATACATGTACGTACAGTTAGTGTGACCCTTTGTTCACTGCACCAGTGCAGTGCCTACCAACAACGCCTATGCACATGAATCTACATGACATTGATACATTTGCACACGGTGAATTCAGCCTACAGTACCCTGGATATAACGTACTTTTCTCTTCGCATCGGATAAAAAGTACTTTCTAAGAGCCTAGCTGGATATCTCCTTAGCCTAAGGCTTTGCAGTCAGTCTTCATGACCTAGGATAGAGTACCTCGGCTATAGCCTATATACCAACTGACTTTACGTGATTTGGAGGCATGTTTGTTACCGTGACTGCAGTTTCATTGTATGTCACATTAGTACATTGATTGTACTTCAAGTTGAATAGTTTGCAGACAACCTGCTAGGCACCGGCGGATAATGCCGGCAGAAAGATTGGCAGAATTCGGTACTTTTTCTGGTAAGTTTCATGCATGTTCGGTATGTGGATAAAGAAATGGAGCAGAATTCGAGGAATTGCCGCCATAAGGTTTGTATGGTTCTGCCAATTATTTCACTGCTTTTAGAGCAGAATCTGCCACCTTTTCGAGCAGAATCCGCCGGTGCCTACACTCAAGAGAGCACTGCATTTCACACAAATCCATTAGAAGTATCGTTTCAACGTTTCAGTCTTCATGATTCATGATGGTCATGAAGACTGAAACGTTGAAACGATACTTCTAATGGATTTGTGTGAAATGCAGTGCTCTCTTGAGTGTAGGCAGGTTGCCTGCAAACTATTCAAGTGTAATGAAGCTGCGTGAAGCGTCGTTCAAAATTTTCAAAGACTAAGTAGTTCTTGTTATTTTAATATTATCATGGACACACCATTGATACAATCATGCAGTACACAACACAACACTAGTGTCGGAGCGGATTTGACTGTTTTCATGAATGAATCCACTCAAGTGGAGATTGAAACAGTTACGGTGTAGCGTCTCTGACGTTCTCGCATCATGACATCATCATTTGTTTGCATGTACACGTCATATTTTCCTCATCATCACAAACACTGATTCACCATACTCTCGCACACATTGTAATACCTACTACACGTACTTCGCTACCATAATAATTACGTAATGTTTGGCTAGCATAGTTCCAATACACATTACGACATCTTTTGATGTTACGCACTCCTCGCCTACAACGCTATTGTAGAAAAGTAGTCTTTACTCATCTCTTGTAAGTTCTGTTTGCATCCAAACACTTCTTCCAAACAGCACACGTCAGATATCTAACAAAACAACAAACTTCATTGCACAGTCTTCTATCACAATCTCTTTCCTATATAAACCTCCTTTCTCTTCACTTTCTTCATGACATTTAGTGTTCGCCAGTCTTGTAAAGATCTTGGAAACTAACACTCGTTGCACTGTATCTAGACTACTAAATTGGTGACCCCCGACGTGAGTAAAGTGCAATATGTCCAGCGACGATGGTTCTTCCGCTTCCGCCTCTGGAGCTTCAGCTGCCGCTAGCTCCTCCGCCCCGGCCCAAAACCAACCACTCGCCCGCAACGACCAACACGACGCACCGGACCGTCCGGTGTCTGCCATCACCTTCCGACTGCCGCAGTACTGGCCCGGCGATCCGCAGCTTTGGTTTGCACAGGCAGAAGCGCATTTTGCCAACCATCGCATCACCAACCCGCGGGCCAAGTATAATGTCGTCGTGAGTTCGCTGGCTCCTGAATACGCCGCTGAGATTCGGGACTTGCTCCTAGCGCCGCCAGCCGAGGAGCCGTACCAAGTCCTGAAAGAGGCGCTCACCGCACGCACACAAAAGTCCGATCAGGCACGGTTGCGTGAGCTACTCTCAACAGCCGACATCGGGGACAGCCGACCAAGTCGCGTCCTCCGACGCATGCAACAGCTTTTAGGCAGTAAGTCGCTAGACCCAACTATCCTGCGCGAGCTATTTGTACAGCGTTTGCCCGTGACGGTCCGCCTGATTCTGGCTGCAACACCTGCAAGCCTCAGCCTGGACGAACTTCAGCCCTCACCATCGTCTACACGGATTTCAAAAGCGTCGACCTCCATTTTGAAAACATGGTGGCTGGCCGCGCTACCAGTAGGCGCACGTGCCCACCGCGTGTCTCAGTGCGAGCTTCGAGCTCACGAGCTAAAGATCATGTCGCCCACTCATTTTCCTGTGTTTCCCCATTTCTTCGAACTCGCTCAGCTTTTGCTTCAGGTTTTGCTTCGCTCGTGCTTCAGCTCCACGCTGTAGTCTGAGTTTAGTTCTCTTGTCTTCTTCCAGCAGAATACTGCAAACTCTACAGCACGTCGAGCTCCTCCTAGAAGAGTTTATTTTGCGTCGAGGCAGACTGTCGATCGTTTCAGTCCTATCTTGCCGTCGTCTCATGAGCGCCCCGGAAAGCAACAGTATCTATTTTCTTGTCGTTCCATTTTCTGGCGAACTCATTCACCTACTACTTCTTCCTTTATGAAAGCTTCAGGTGGCTGAGTTCTCCCACTAGCGACAATCATGCCTTGGAAATGAACAGGATATTCCTAAGGTATATACAGCCAGTGCAGTGATGTCAGTGTACTGCGCGTACTAGTAGTTGTTTGTTTTGTCGAGAAAGAATCCCTTTCGCACTCGCGCGGGCCGCGAGGGCGCAGCACGGAAACAGGTCTATTGAATTCATTTCTTGGTCGATTTCGACAACCAATACGTCGTTGTTTTTCTTTTTTCACTGGCTATCCTTTCTCCGCTTCCGAATTGCGATGCCGTCCACCTGGAAAGCCTTGAAGTGAAACGAGTGGAGGCCGGTTTCGGAGGTAATTTTCGGCCAAACGGCAATCAAATCGAAAAATTCGAAGCGGACGATCTGTTGGTATCTATCGAAAGAAGACGTTGGCCCATAAAAAATCTTTGGAAACTACACCGTATGAACCAAGGAATTACGGTAAGTTCGAGAATTTTGGTACATTAGCTGTACGCTG